GAGACAGGAGACAAGGTAGAAACGGAGAAGGACAATGAACTGGACATGAACAAGGACAATGCTTAAGACAGGCACAGTGACAAGAGGAAAAAGAAACATAAATTCTATAGTTCATTGTCGTATTAAAGGGATTGCTGTGCTGATTGGAGGCGAGGATCTTGAACCTGGAGTACATGCTGATCTTATCAAAAGTCTGGAGGAGAATTCACCTAGTTTCTTAAAACATGAGGAACCACAGACTCCAGATTCAGAATTCGCCAGAACTCCAGATTCTCCTGGGTAAGCTTTTATACATTCTTAGAGCATTGGACTCGACGACGACGTGGCCATTTAATTAGGTGACTTCCCCCTCAGGCCTTTTAAAGTCATGTGATGTATGTCATCTGTACCTCCCCGCTCATACCTCGGACCTGACTTCGTCCAGTTAGTGACATTCAAACATACAACACAACTTTAAAATTGTCCTAATAAACTGCTTGTGGTGTTTGGAAATTATGAAGCCGTTAATAAAACAGTAAATTTACCATTTTTTTCTTATTTTATTTTTGGTGGTTGTTAAGAAGAGTTTAAATGATTATAATGATGTTAATGATACTGTCAGGTTTGCTAGTGAGATGAATCGACCTCTAACAGATCTGACCAGTTCTCTGCTAGAGGATATATTGGAACCTAACCCTGGGGAGATCAGCATCACTAATTTACAGGTATTATTACTGTTAGTATCAATGTGAATATAATTAAGGTAAGATGGAAGGAGTTTGTCTATACATTTCATTTGTGACGAATTTAAGGTCCACTGTACTTCAAATCGACACCAAAAAGTGGAACTCGTGTGACCCAAAAAATTCTCCCAAAAATGGCCCAAGTTTTGGAATGCCCAAAATCATGCTAAAAACATGGTAGATTAAAACAACTTTACTTAAATGATCACCTCAAACATGCTAAAAATATTATTATATCGTTAGAACTGACGATCAGACCGAAATATATTTTCAATAAATGTAAAACCATCACCATCACCGAATTTAAAATCTACCTGAACCCTGATGGATCCTATAAATTCCTTATAAAGCAAATACTAGAGATTTGGTCCGAACTGCAACACACATAAATTCTTTTTCTTTGAATTCTGTAAGTCTTAAATAAAAAAGGGATATTTGCGATATATATATGCCGTAATCTGAATTTTTGTTTTAACAAAACGTGAATTAGCGGACAATAGATTTTTTTATAGCCAATTGATAAAAAGAGTAATAAACAAATTTAATGAAATATAAAGGAGAGAAAAATAATAATGGACAATTAAAAGTAAAAATTAATGATAAACCTCGCTAAGGAATGAAAAAAGAGGGAGAAGAAAGCTGAATTTTGAGATTTCAAAAAAGAAGTTGGTGGGTTAAAAAAAAAAAAACCAAAAAAAAAGATGAAAGGGCCCAGATTAACAATTATTAAAAGTAAAAGTTTTAAAAAAAAGAAGGAAGACATGATGGACAATACTTTTGGATCGATTTAGAGCACAGTGGGCCGAATTCCCCACCCACTGCTTTAATTTAAATTCCTAAGCGGTGAGCGCTTTAGTCGGTGAAATATCGTCTGCACTAATGATTGATCGTACTAACGTACGTTCGCACTAACGGAATTCGGCTCATTTAATTAATTAGCTCCATTGAACATATTTTTAGTAGGAATGAACAAAAAATGTTCAATTGTACTAAAGGTAAAAGTTAATACAAATGAACGTATTTATTGTGCAAATGAACAAAAAAATGTTCATTCAAACTAAAATCTAAAACTTTGACATTTTGCACATTACCCTAATTATAGTACAAATAAACATATTTTAGTGCAAATGAACAAAAAATGTTTAATCAAACTAAAATTTAAAATTTCACCATTTTCACATTAAACCTACTTAGTACAAAAGAACATATTAGGGCAAATGAACAAAAAATGTTCAATCGAACTAAAATTAATAATTTTACCATCTTACCCATAAATTATAATTAGTGCAAATAAACTTATTTTAGAACAAATTAACAAAAAAATTCCAATCAAACTAAAATCTGAAATTTCACTGTTTTCAACATTTACTCTAATTATTAATGTTAATTCGTTATACAAACCTGTCTCTGATCAGCTTACTTACGTATAAATGTACGTTTGTTCAATAACGATATAGCATCCGTTGGTCTTAATACGGTTGCTGTAAATTGAACACAACCCTCCCCCTGGGACAACTTTACGTCTAATCTTAATCACTTAGATTTTTATCGTTATCATTATCATCATTTTTATTATGGTTAAAATAACTGTTTAGGAGAATTGGGTTACTATCCTAAGAAAGGCTGGAGCATGTTCGGTCCTTGTAGATGCTATATACTCTCTACCTCTAATTGAACAGTATATACACAGGTAAAGGAATGATCACGCGCCTCAAACTCTAATTTTTATTATCACCATGACTTTGCAATCTGATGGACCTTTGACGATTAAATTTTGACCACTTAGAATTTAACGTTGTACGACACTGGTTGTAAAGATGTAAAGTTAAGAAAATCAAAGTTTGTGGCTTCATGTTAGGAACTCCTTTATTAAAAAAATGTCAAAGCTATCAAAGAAAAACTCAAACGCAAATACTTTAAGGTGGCAGGATACAATCCTTGAAGGAGCTCGTCCCCTGCCTCTTGCTCCTGGTCAGGGGGCCCAGGTCTGCGCCGACCTCCTTGCTCTAGAAGCTGAGATAGAGTTGATCTCGAGGATCCTGCAGCTTCCTCTTTACCTCAATACAGATTTCACAAGGTAAGTCAGCTTCAGAAAGGGTTTAAAACGCAGAAATTGTTTAATTATTTCATCTTCTGAAATGATCACGTTCACAAACTTTAATTTTTAATCTGTGTTGTTAACTTTCCATAAACAGAGCGTCCCATATCATATTAGATTATCTCCAAGCTTTAACGCAAAAATAAACATATAATATTCGAAAAACATAGCATTTCCTGCAAGAAAATTTTTTTATATTAGCCTTATTCAATTTTTCAAAATGATTTATTTTTCTTAAATTTTCTGATTGTCCCGGAAATTGTAATTTAGACCCATTTACGATCTAATATTATATGGGACACCCTGTATTAAAGAAATAATATTCAGATCTAAGGCTAAAAAATTGAGTTTGAGCCAAGTTATCAGTTTCTTCGTTTAAGATTTGTTCACAAACTTGTAATATTATTTTTCAGATTTGAATAAATCATCTGATTTTTTCTATCAACGATTCTGTGCTAATGTTTATCTCCTTTCTAGATTTCAAAAAGTGAGTGGAGCAATTTTTGGGTGTGTTCTAGCAGCTCTCACAGCTTCAGCAGCTCTTTCAGCTGTCACAGATCCTAAACCAGCGTGGGAGACATCTGCGAAACAGGTGGATTACAACAGCTGAAGACTTACTTAAAAATGAAAGATAAAAATATTATATTTGAATTATACTTTTTAATCTAGATTGTTGAGTTGAGCTTGACTCTGGCCAACAATATGCTTACGGTAAATACTAAAATGTTTTTTTGATTAAAAATATCTGAACAATGTAAATAAATGAAGAACCAAGGAAAGGGGTTCTACTGCCATGTTTAAGAACAGACCTTTAACTAATCTAATTGTATCAAACAACTGCCACTGATCGTATTTTTCCAGACATTATTCGTAGGAATCCCTAATATTTGTTATTGTTAAGAATCAAACCCCATCCCCCTTTTCCTTCAGCTTTCCTTCACTTCACATTACATTGTGTTACATTTTGTTTGTAGTAACTATTCTTCTAACATTCTATTCGTAATGTGAATAGAATATTGAATTATGTCTAAATGCTTTCGGTAGCTCAATATTACAAACAAACTGTAAACATGTGTAGACATGGGAGTATATTTTACTATAATATAGGTTACTGGGAAGAGTAGTAGATTAGGAGCTGCTTCAGCTGCAAACCTGGGTACTAGCCTCGCCTGGCTTATACTAACTGGGATACATGCAGGTCAGACGGGTTGGAAAACTTTTATATTGATCGATTTATTAATTCATTCTGATTGATTGATTCATTCATTCATTGTTTGTTATTTTGATTGGTTGATTGATTTAGGATTTGAAAAAGAAAATGAGAGCTTCTTTTGCTCCTCTACAGTATCCTTCACTAACTTCTCCTTGGATCTTCTCTCTCATCTTATTTTAGATCTCAAGGTGGGTAACAAATTTTGTTTAAAATAATTGGGTCTGAGATTAACAAGGATTATGCTGTATATTATTATAGGATGAAGACTGTAGTGTTAGCAAGGTTGAACCTGCCAACTTCAACCTTGGCGCTTCCTTTAGCAGTCTACAACGTATTGTTCTCATCTACTCCTCGGTCCCGGTCTATGCTCTCCTGCTCAGGATCTCCAAGGCATCCTACAGAAAGTCCCGGATGTTGATGAACCTGCAGAAACCGGAAATTGAGCAAACTCTCGGTTCTGATAAGAACAGTTACCTAACTTCAGAATCACAGACTGAAGAGGAACCCATTCTGGGACAATGGATGCAGGATATTCTTAAACCTGCTCCGGGATCTAGATCCAGCACACCTCAGGAACATGATGATCAGGGAGTTGAAACAAGTGTAGAGGAACCAAACTTGTATCTTCTCCTCTCCTCCCAGATACTTGCCTGGTTATCTGAACAAATGAAGAACGGAGATGAAGGGGGTTGGATGAATGAGTATGTTCTTTCTTCAGCTAACCTTGAATTTATTGAAATCACTGGGTCCTTTATTCAAGAAGCTGACAAGGATTCAGTTTCCAAACATCATTTCAACTCTTGGGCTGAATTCTCATCCAGTCTATTTTTGTTCACACATAATCTTGTTTCAATCATTGGTCCAAATCCAGAGCTGTCAACCAAGCTCCTATCCCTCTTAGGATTAGATCCATCCCTTCCTAACTCTGAACCCTGGCCTCTTTATGTGCCTGCTCGTAGCCTTTCCATCTTAGCCCAAACCCTGCTCATTCGGCAGAAGCTTGAGGTAGACCCCTACAGTGTCAAGGTTACCAATCAGTTCATGCTTATGTGGGAGCGTGTTATCAATAGTGTTGTAGCTGCTGCTAATGATACCAACAGTAATACTGATGTAAATGTAGAGAATCTTCAGCTGATGCTTCTGCTCTTCCACTCCCTTCAACTGATGCAGAAGAAGCATGTTCTTTTAAATGCCTGTAAGAGCTTACTCTCTATTTGCACTGGAAAGCCGGATAAACCAACCCTGCTGTACTACATGATGTTGGCAAGGATGTGCCTCTTGGTTGATTATTTTATTAGACATCTGTATGAACCCCCAGCCTCTCTTCTTCCCCAGGTAAAATCCAATCTTTTCAATAAAACCTCCTTTACCTCCCACCCTGCTCACTTCCCCATGACAACAATGGAGGACTGTGGTGAGAAACCTCAGTACTACCTCCTTAGCCCTACTATCTACACCACCTCTATGGAGGTTCCCAAACTAGATGGGTTGGCAGTCAGTTTTCTCCTCGGCTCACCTGAGACCTTGGATTATGCTGGTCTGTATGAAAGCCTAGTCGACCGGATTGACATAGTAAAGTCTGGTGCAGGAGAAGGACTGGGTAAGGGAACTAACTACTGCTTTAACATCCTGTGGCGACTGCTTCAATCCCTCCCCCCTCCAGCACCATTCCTGGCTAGACTGGAAACCCTAGCTGGTATAAAGGAACCTGACCAAACTCTGACCTACGGGTTTATCCTCCATGCATTGATTATCGGACCAAGGTCAGCTAACAAGAATTTCTCTACTTGGATCAAAGAAGGTCTTGTGAAGCAAGGGCTTCTACTTGGAAATGCTGACTCCCTGTTGAAGTCTGTATCTGCTGAAGTAAACAGTATTACCTTTCAGGTGTCTCTTCTCCAAAGTTTCTTACTAGTGATGGAGGCAAGGATGAATCAGAAGAGCACCCCAGAGCTAGCTGATCTCCTAATTCTGGATGCTTTGATTGCAGGATTCCAGATCTCTCTAGATAGAATCTTCTCATTGTCAAAGTTTTCTGCTCAAACTGATACTCCTCTGGATACGAAGCAGAAGAGAGAAGACTGGGTTGTGGGGAACCTCCCGCAAAGTGTTGAATGCGCCCAGCAACTGGTGCCTAGTATTGCAAGGTTGGTAAACCTTTTTAACCAGGCAGCAAGGAACATTGTCCTTGATAGGTTCAAGCAGATACAGGAGAAGAATAAATCTGATCTGGATATATCCAGTAGTGCAACTCTTCTTCATAGCATCTGCATCATTGGATCCCGGTGTCAGGCCACTGACAATCTGGCCATGAATATTACTACTAGTCTACCCGCAGCTCTAAGAACAGCACTTGATGAATGGTCTTCTACCTCCATCGCCTCTTTCCCTCCGCCCAACGGTTGGAAAAGTCAATACGACAAGGACCCTATTCCTGGGGAATCCTTTATCTTCTCAACAATCCTCTCCCACACCCAACTGTTGAACCTAGATTCTGCTACACCAAGATCCTCCTTGAAGCATGTATTGTCTAGTGCTGCTAGGTTTGCGTGTGATCTGTTTGTGTGGTGTCCTGACTCTGGTCCACAGAGGAATAGATTAGTATCAGCTCTGTTCCCTCTCCTTCTTGATTCAACTACAGAGTTCCTGGCAGATCTACTCTCACTCTCCCTAGAGAGATATGTTGGAACAGGTAGACCTTAATTCTTCAATCTAGGGAATTTAAGATGGAATTTTATAAATCTATTTTGGTTTCAATTATGATATTTCTGATCTGCATTTTATTAAAGAAGTTAACTAACTTTCATCCATAAATATCTGTCTTTTATTCAGTTTTAAGTTTGTTAAAACATCATCATCATCATAATTTTATGTTTGTGTCATTTTGTCTTTAAAGATCAAAAACAAATTATAAGAATTAAGATATTGACGTTATATTTTGAAGGAGAAAGTGAGAGCAGTCTAACTTCAGTATACGAACTAGTTCTCCAGCATGGATACTCAATACTAGTGGATAGAAATCAGAACCAGCTACTCAAGGCCGGTCAGAGTATTCCTCAGGTAGAACAGTGTTTATAAATTTGATAGATGAGATTATAATGTATAATAAAATTTAAGAGGCAAAATATTGTCAGGGATGAATGAAAAGAGTTTGACAATAATTAAGTTTATAAAAGAAATAAATGATTCTCCAAAAAAAAAGATTAAGAATAGTCAGGGGTTTTCTTGATCAGTTTTAAAGATACCTAAGATATTAATGATGCTATTTTTAGTTTAAATGATAATGATGCTATTTATTAGTTTAAATGATACTGATGATGTTCTTGATTAGTTTAATTGATGCTAATAATGCTCTTGATTAGTTTAATTGATGCTAATAATGCTCTTGATTATTTTGAATGATACTAATGATGAAGAATGAAGATTGATTAGTTTAATTGATAACAATAATGCTATTAATTAGTTTAAATGATACTAATGATAATCTTGATTAGTTGAAATGATACTAATGATGATATTGATTAGTTGAAATGATACTATTGATGCTCTTGGTTAGTTTAATTGATACTAATAATGCTCTTAATTAGTTTAGATGATACAAATGATAATCTTGATTAGTTTAAATGATATTAATGATTCTCTTGCTTAGTTAAAATGTTACTAATGATACTCTTGATTAGTTGATACTCATGATGATATTGATTAGCTTAAATGATACTAATAATGACCTTAATAATGCTTTTAATTAGTTTGAATTATACTAATAATGCTCTTAATTAGTATAAATGATACTAATAATAATCTTGATTAGTTTGAATGATATTAATGATGCTATTGTTTAGTTTAAATGATACTAATGAAGCTCTTGATTGGTTTGAATGACACTAATGATGCTATTATTTAGTTTAAATGATACTAATGAAGCTCTTGATTATTTTAAATGACACTAATGATGCCCTTGACTAGGAGATAATTCAGTATATGGAGAGGATGCTTGATAAACCTGTTGGTCGGAAATCAATCTGTGCATTCTTCAATCCTGCACAACTACATGTACCTAAACTAATAGAGGAATGTCATTCATATAAATTATTATTAAAATCGTCTGTCAAACTTCTATATCTAATTTAGAAGGGGTTTTGCCGAATCAGGGGGAAAAATAATTCTATGAATAAAATCTTAAAATGAACACCACTGTAAAGGATGAATTAAATTGATTTAATTCATATATACAGGGTTATTTTCCTTGACAAACCACAACGTTACATGAACTTTGTGTCTCCTGTCATATGGTTAAATATGTGTGCATTAAATCTTTGATAACAGAGCTTAGCCCGGCTACCTTTCCCGTTGACAGTTAAACCTTAAGACGCAGACTAGTTTCAGAAGTTAAACTTTTCACCGATTTAAGGAGTTAAATGAACTGTTTAAGTAATATCAAGTGACCATGGAACCCTTGAAACCATTATCTGATCAATAATGTGGAAGATATTGTCGTTTTTATTGCCTATTTTTTTTGTATAATTCTGATAATTATAATATGTTTTAATACAGCATTAATGTGTAAGTCACTCTTGTAGAGATGGCACAAGTGAAAGGGATCAATTGTGTCATTTTGATGGTCTAGGAAAGAATACCAAAACCTTAAATCCACGGGTATGTAATATGTATGCCATTAACATTAAGATGAGCAAATATCTTTTCACCAGCGCACCTCGTGTATACACTAGAGTCTTGTTTAATCTTATTTATTTCAAGTGTAGCAATACCAGATCAAGAGCTCTAAGCCGTGAAACTGAAAAGCAAATTATCAGTCATGATTAGATTAATTTATTATAAATATTAAAAGAATCGTTAAGTATAAACATGTAAAGTTTGCCAATAGAATTTGCTCCAGGTGTGCAATGTGGACATTTAATAGATTAATAGATTAATAGTAATTAAATATTTTAGGCTGGGCTTATTTTATATAAAATCTAAGGCTTACAATTTTTATATAAAATTCTTATTCTCAGTTAAAAGTGTTTTATATATAGACTTCTCAGATAAAACTCTCAACTTCATCATAAAATGTTTATTGGTTAGAATATCACGTGCTCGAGTTCTTTCCTCAGGAACACTTGCAAAGTCTTGCATCTCGTGAATCCACCTGAACAATATTCATTTAAAAATCTTCAGATCTTACATCAATTTTCAACATGGATATCATATTCATACTTTAGCTGACAAAGCTTCAAAGGGTACCGTTGTGAATTAAGCATTGACATCTCTGCATGGAGGATCACTTGAAATTACGTCTGAAGTCTCGAAAAGGAGTTAAACCTTTTTTTAAAAGTGTGTCCTGTAGATATTGAACACGAGCTACCTGTACGGCGCGCAGGGAAGCTAAGGTAGAGAGGAACGGAAGGAGACAGAGAAGGAAAGAACAGAGAGAGACCCGCAATATTCTGAAACAAAACTAGGAAAAAAGGAAAAGGACAGTGGGCAGGGTGACCAGATAGGATAGTCAAAACTGCACACAAACAGGTTGCCACAATAAATGGTTAAAAGATGTAGTACGTGAGAGGTAGAGATAAAGACTGAGCCCAGTCAGGAAGAAACCGGGAACAGAGGGAGGGCCCGCAAAACTCCCCCCAACCGTAGTCCACGTCAGCAGTACAGTACAGGTAGAGAGAGAGAGAAAGCTAAGCTCAGCGCTAGTACAGAAAGTCGTCGTCCTCACTCAGTTTAACCCCTGAATCCAGGGATCAGCGCCTAAACAATCACGAGTTTTGTCCCGGACATCCCAAACACAAGTTTTGAATTCAGAATATTTTTGAATGACGGTTTCCAGGTTTTATTATCTCTGGCTTCTCCTGATCTATCTCCAGCATACGCTTCAAGAGTTCTCAGGAACCCATAAAATAAAATAAATTCTTTTGGACTTTTTCCCCCGAATTTTATTAATGTCAATTATTCCACATGTTGATTGTCGACAGATGTCACCTTTGTTTTATTTTAAATATTGGCAAACATTTCGCATATTAAAATGGAAAATTGATTTCGACGTAATGATTTTTTATTTTTGATCTTGTATTTATTTATATATATTGTTGTACTTAAACTAAACTTAAGACAGATCAAGTTTTTTATGAGTTATTTATCAGATTCTTTAACAAGCTCTTCCAGATGTCGGAACGATATAAGGTATAAACTTGATGCCTGCTTTAATACAAAAAATGCTATTTGATAAATTATCAGTTCAGAAAAAAACTTTTTGGTATTTACTCGGAACAAGGAGAAAAATATTGCAAAGTCTAGTAAAAGGAAACTTCAACAGAATCCAGTTTTAAAATGTGGAAAGTTTTATCAAGCTTTAAGAAAACAATCAACAACACTACCAGTCTAGTACCTGGGGGTTCCGCGTTGGGTTTCCATTCAGATTTAAACTTTATTTGATTTGTGTACCTGTAACCTTTGTATCTAGGATGAGAGTGGACTAGTTGAACTATGTAACATTACCTGTAACCTTTGTATCTAGGATGAGAGTGGACTAGTTGAACTATGTAACACTACCTGTAACCCTGGTATCTAGTGGACTAGTTAAACTATGTTACACTACCTGTAACCCTTGTATCTAGGATGAGAGTAGACTAGTTGAACTATGCCAGCAGGTTTCAGGTTTGCTCCAGGTTCCCAGCTCCAGGCTCATGGNTAGTATGAGAGAGGACTAGTTGAACTATGTAACACTACCTGTAACCCTGGTATCTAGTGGACTAGTTAAACTATGTTACACTACCTGTAACCCTTGTATCTAGGATGAGAGTAGACTAGTTGAACTATGTAACACTACCTGTAACCCGTGTATCTAGGATGAGAGTGGACTAGTTGAACTATGTAACACTACCTGTAACACTTGTATTTAGGATAAGAGTGGACTGGTTGAACTATGTAACACTACCTGTAACCCTTGTAACTAGGATGAGAGTAGACTAGTTGAACTATGTAACACTACCTGTAACCCTTGTATCTAGGATGAGAGTGGACTAGTTGAACTATGCCAGCAGGTTTCAGGTTTGCTCCAGGTTCCCAGCTCCAGGCTCATGGACTGGCTCAGGTTCGTTTTATTGTAGTATTATTTACTTTGGGTTTGGGGAGTGGAAAGCAAAGTGAATAAATACTAAAGTGGAACAGACTAAGTCAATGACGACAGGTTGGGCCATAAGGTTTTATTTGGTTTGGAAATAATTGCATGAAAAGATTTCTTTTGGAAAGTAAAGACAAGAATAAATAGACTACCGACCCATGTAAATGTCATCTTTAGTTAAAACTTCGAAATTTTCATGATTAAACATCAAAAATTTTTGTATGTATATAGTTTATATGTAAATACCATAAAGTCGCATAATCAATTCACTTCTGAAATCTTAATTTACGTTAATCTATATTTAAGTTAAATACCGATTCTTATTCTGTGTTTGTAAACAAAGGGAGTCCAATTTTGTTGTACTGTGCACTCCGTTCAGACCAATTTATATATAAATATATATTATTTTTAAATACTTGGGACATAAAATGTCGTCATCCAACTATGAGTTTGGCCCACTCTAGTATTTAATCAATTTGAGTGGAAGGAGGGCAACCTGAGAGTCTGATTTGATTCAACTAACTTAATCTCGATAAAATTACAGATTTTCTACAAAGAAAATTTTACTTTTTTTGAAGTGTCTAAGCTTTCTTTTATGTTTTCTAATGCATCTTCTTTACATTTATTGCCACTTCCTTTTAGATCTATTTAAAAGTTCATTACCCTTATGTATCTAACCTTGCCTATCCCAGCCTTACAGCTCCTTAAGGTCTAATAAATAAAGGTGAAAATCGTTAGACCATTCATAGAGCACATGATAAATATAGCAAAAGGTGTATAAAGCAAACGTATGATGCACAGAGAAAATTGAAATCCAACTATTTATAACACTGTTATTTTGGGTTGCAGTGTTATAAAGTTTTTGGACATAAATTTTCTCTTTATCGAGATGATTTTCACCTTTTCAAGATTTAATTTAAGTATAATCTAAGAAGGCGAGAACCTTCGAGATATAGAGAAAATTTAATAAGAGTATTATAGGTAATGTTATGAAACCTGCGTGTACTTTTCTTATTTCAATCGCTTTTTATAGATAAAATAAGCTTTGAAACAAAGCAAAAGTTAAAATATAAAGTGAGTTCATTTTTAATTTAATTTAAATTGAAAAAAAAAATATTTTGGAAATATCCTTAATTTATTGGAGAAAATCCGGGAACCAATCAAAACCTTAAAGCACACGTGCTATAATGTACAGCTATTGAACACGAGCTACCTGTACGGCGCGCAGGGAAGCTAAGGTAGAGAGGAGCGGAAGGAGTCCAGAGAAGAAAAAGAACAGAGAGAGAGACCCACAATAGTCTGAAACAAAACTAGGAAAAGAGGAAAAGGACAGTGGGCAGGGTGACCAGATAGGATAGTCAAAACTGCACACAAACAGGTTGCCACAATAAATGGTTGGATAAAAGCAGTTAACGTGGAAATAAATATAGTAAATAAATATAGGGATTATAAGTGAAGTGGGAATAGTACAAATTAGTCTAATGTTAGATGAAGGAAAAAAGTTAGGTAACGTGGTTACATACCAGTGCTGGGTAGGTCAGGAGCGTCTGGTGAGCTGAGTTGCGGCCAAAGAAGAGCTGGTAGTTTAGAACGGCAAGAGAAAGAACCCGAGGTACAGAGATCTGCAAGCTTCTTTTTGTAGCCTGTAAGAGAGCTGGAGTCTGGGAGTACCGCTGATCTGAGGATACTGCTCATAGCTGATCTGAGGCAAAGACCTGTAGGTAGCAGGGAGTCCGGAGTCCATTCTGTAAAGGGGAAAATTGCTGGAACTAGTGGGAAACCCCAGAATCTTCTTAAGGGGGAGACTGGACCTGCTGGAGCTAAGGGAAACTCGTAAACCGGTGGTCTGAGTAGAGGGGGAAAGAAGCTAACGAGTCTTCGGAGGCTGGGTAGAGAAGGATTAAAATCCTGGCGTAGGAGTCGGAAGTAGGGTAGACAAAGGCTCTGAGGCAGAAGTCTGAAAGTTCTGCAGAAGAGAGATCCGAAGGTTGAATTATGGAGTTGTTTCTGGAGAAGTGGAAGGAGAAAGCTGAAGAAGGGACATAGTTAGAGACCATGGTGCCGTCGGGGAAGGAGAAAACGGAAAGGTCAGGGATACTGATGGTGAGGGAGGTTGGAGAGTTGCAGATCCAGAAGTGGTTGGCGTTGATGGTTTTCGTGTTAAAGAGTATTCCTAGTAGTACTAGGTTGCCTGAGGCTACATTTTGATTGTCTGCGCTGAGGGTGAGGCAAACTAATCCGATGGCGCCTTGGTTCCAGTTTAAGTTGGAAAGTAGGGAGTCGTTGATTGACTCGAGGGAGGTGATAGAGATGGACCCGAGTTCCTCTAGGGATAAATCAGAGGGGTTAGAGAATCCTGTTGAGCTTTCTATGTTGGTTTCTTTTTTCCTTCGACTCATGACTGAAAGTAAAATAGGGTTAAGAAATGTAGGTGTAAATTAATTGAAATCAAAGTAGTTATATTGTGGAAATTAATTTGGAGTTAAGTTGAGTTAATGTGAATTAAAATAAAATAAACATAAGAAAAAATCCACGTCAGCAGTACAGTACAGGTAGAGAGAGAGAGAAAGCTAAGCTCAGCGCTAGTACAGAAAGTCGTCGTCCTCACTCAGTTTAACCCCTGGATCCAGAGATCAGCGCCCAAACAATCATTTAACTTTATAGCATAAGTGCTATAATGTATAGCTAATTTAACTTTATAGCACAACAATTACTTTATAGCACGTTCATAATGAAATTCACGATGAAGTGAGGAAGAATGATAAAGTACACAATAGTTTCATAAATGTATACCACCCTCCTCCTTAGTTCTAAACCTCACAGTCTTGCATAATTTTCTTAAAGGGACTTATAGCTTAATTGTAAGTAAACCTCAATTTAAAGATGGCAATGCCCGAATTACAACGGTACCCGGCTTTGGCTGATCAAGTATGAATTAGAACTCCATGTTTTTTCCTGATACGAAAGACGCGAGAAATTCACAGAATTAAACACTTTTCGAGTCAGAAAAATAAAATTTTTATTAAAATAATGTTACAAGGTTACCGTTGTAAATCGTGCATTGACATCTTTGGATGCAGGGTCACTTAAAAATACGCCTACAGTCCCTTTAACCATGTTTTTAAATAGATATCTTGTGGTTGGAATGTTCCAAGGAGATGTAGAGACTGAAGTAGAGGTTGATGTTGATGCTCTTTTCCAAGGAGAAGAAGTTAAACTGGACAATGTCCAGGAGAACAGGATAATGCTACAGAACCTTACCAATCATATTGTTAAGGTAGGTTAAAGGGACTGTAAACGTAATTTCAATTGACCCTCCATGCAAAACTGGCAATGCCCGATTCACAACGGTACATTTGAAACTTGTATATGATCAGTAATGTTGTAGATATTATGATTAGAAAGGCGAAAGACAGTTTTTAGAGAAACCACAGTTTAAGCTGTTGTATCGTTGTGAATCGGGCAATGGTCTCTTTGCTTGGAAGGTCACTTGAAATTACGCTTACAGTCCTCCCTCATGATAGAATTTTTTTTTTTTTAAATAAAAGGCTTATAGGAATATGTTTCTATATTTTTTCATATTACGACTTACGATGTTTTAATAATGACAAAATTGTAAAAATCGTTCGTCACTTGGGGGTGGAGAAGTCCTGTGAAATCTCGTAGTTGGCAAATTTAAAGTCTCATAAAGGGGTTTGACCAACATCAACACTTATGAGGGGTTGGGGGGCCTTTGAATAGATAAAAACAAGAAAAATAGGAATTCAGCATTTACAATTTTCTGTTTTTGACTTATTTTTTGTACAGTCTGATTCTGGAGTTGATGAGGATGTTCCTCTAACAATCCTCTCCCTCCTCATCCCTCTAGCTTCGGACATCCTCAGCTCACCCTCTGGTCCTGCTGTAGGATTCCCCGACCTCATGGCTGTCCTCACGGGACTCGCCTCCGCCGGGAACGGGAAGGGTCATGTGATCCTGTTTTCGGCCGTTGCGGACTGGTTGGAGGTCGTGAAGAAGTATTTGGTCCAGAAGAACGTGGTGGAGAAGCTGGAGGCAGGGAATAGCTCCGGGAGGCACATGATTATGCTGGAGAATGCCACAACACTACTTCAATATATCAGGTACTTAGAAAGTAACCGAATCCTAATGAATTCCGAGTAGCACTTAACGTCTCTTAAGAACGATTACGTTAGGCTCGGACGCAATTAGGGAGAGGCTACTTTCCCTGTCTGCAAATTAATCAACCCAATATCAAACAAGTATATTCTGATGTTGGAAAATTAAACCTTACTAATGTATTTTGATAAATTGTGTTTAAATCTTCCAAAAACATGTTTGGACGTATTTGTTTTCTGACTTCCTATTTTTTACTTTGATTCTGTTAAAGAATTTTAAATTCTGTTCTGTTGTCTCTGCTCTATACTATAGATGTAAATATATTAAATATTAAGCTCTGTTGTGTCTGCTCTGAAGTATGGCTCTGTAAGATGGGGTCTACCTGCAGTGGAAAGAAGTTCTAGTCCCCTTCAGTCTGATCTTAATGATGATATGTCATGGACAGATGAAACACCAGGTTAATAATGTTAATGATGTTAATCATGTCTATGATGTTGACGGTGTCGATGATGTTAATGATATTAATGATATTAATGATGTTAATGATGTTAATGATGTTAATTATGTTAATTATATCAATGATATTAATAAAATTAATGGTGTTAATGAAGGAGAAGATGAGGACAGTGGAGATGAAAGTGAAGAAGATACTCTAGATGGAAAACTCTGCACATACACACAAACAGCTAGGTAATTCACGTCTCATTGTATTTATGTTGTCTTTTCCACTCATTGTTACTGGGAGTCACAGAGGGGGGGGGGGTCGTGAAAATGAAATCTAATCTTTGTTGTTCAAGTCAAGTCTTTTGCTGCATGATTACTTATTTTGGATTCTAAAAACATGGTAAAATAGAGCAACAAGATTAATGCGGATAATTTTTTTTTTGTGAGTTCAACAAATTATTACATTAAACATTATCTATTTATTACATTTCATTATACATCATCTTTTTATTACATTACACTATACATTATCTATCTATTACATTACATTAAACATTATCTATTTTTTACATTACACTATACATTATCTATTTATTACATTACATTATACATGAACTATTATAGATTTATTTAAGTGAATAGTATAAATAATGAATATCTAGGGTTTTCATGAATCAGCATTGGTATCATTGTCACACCTGTGGTCTGGTGGACCGGGCTGGTTGCTGCTCTGTCTGTGCTAGAGTTTGCCACAGGTGAGAGGACTCAACCGGATACTAATTCTTTCCGGTCAAACTCATCTGGAAGGGGAAAGGGCTCTATGTTATGTTATTTCAATTTAGTTAAAGACAGACTTATTTAATTCTGGCAATATATTTGAACACATCCAGTTCAAGTTAAAACAACTAATTTTAATTTTCACATCCTGAGATCTTTTGTTGCAACCGGATGCCGTAGACCTTTTATATTTCGCAATTTTCCTGAATCTGATGATCTTTTGTTTATACTTCATGTGTGTAAAAGGAAAAAATACAGTTGGAGGCAAGCTTTCAGTTCCTTGAGGCCATAATTGTGGAAAAAAATTTAAATACCTTTTAATAAATAATCGCTAATAAATGTGTCCTGCTAAAATACATGTTGTAGGGATCATGATGTGACTTACAGCAAACACGGGAGCTTTTTCTGTGACTGCGGAGCAAGGGAGGACGGAAACTGCAAGGTAAAAAAATAAAAATTATATTAAAAACAGGGGTTTGTTCTGAAATTAGAGCCTTTATTGGGACTGTTTTTGTTACTAATTGCTTTATTATCATTATTAATTCACACTGCTGTCAGATTTTCTAATAAATTGAGACATATCTTAAGATAAGAGTTTTTATAAGTAAAAAGTATTATTATTAAGAATCTTATTGCAGGCTGTTGCCCCTAGAGTTGCCCAGGCAGAAGATACTAATCGTAAACCTGTTTATTCCGGAACTGAATCATTCCGGCTTCGTTCCTCTAGTCCCCAGAAGGAGATGGTTGAGACCAAAGACAAGTTGACCGGTGTTGAACTAGAGCTGGCCAGACATGTAGACTCCTACAAGGAACAGCTGATGGATGTCCTTAAGGGAAAGAACTGTATTGCTGCACTGCTTGAAATCACAGAGGCCTTTGTGCCTGTGCTTGAGTCTAGTGCTAGGTCTGCTGCTCCTCTAGGAGCAATGACAAGGATTAGAGCTGCGCTTGATACACTTCATCATGTGACTAAAACATTTGAGGTCAATGATCAGCTTGTACTGCCAACATTGGGATCTCAGGTAAAAAAAATTTAACATATATAATACAAAAAATCATGAAATATAACATTATCTATTCAATGATAGAACAGTTAAAGGTATTATCAGTTCTCCTTACGATTCAATTCAGCTGATTATTTTAATTCTTTATTGCCGATTTAAAAAAAAAATACTTATGACAGGCGCAATAAGTTACGTATTCGAAATTTTCTATGTTTAGACATGTGTGGAGGTTGCTGAGAGTAGAACCTTGAACTGGCAGAAGTTCTGTATGAGTGATGAGACCGTTCTACCCTTTATCATCAAGATATCCTTCCTAGTAGATAACGGTGTTTCACCGTTCCTTCTCCAGCTTCTACAGGCAGCACTCTGCCCACAGCCTAAGGATAAGAACAGGTAGAACAAAAAGGTCGTCTTTTATCCCCGGGGTGTATACTTTGTATTTTTAAAAATAGAGAAGATGCTCGGATAGAGCCACAATTAAAAATTGCAATAAAAGATGGCCGCGAATCGCCCAGAAAGCGTGGCCTCGAGGTAAGTGGCTAACAGATTTATGCAGCAATACAAAAAAGTAAATATTCAGAATTTTTTTTCTGGATAAAACAAATTACCCAATATCTTCCTCATTAATATTTGAGATTTCCTTTTTATTATTTATTTTCTATATTAGGAGGGTGCTTTTGAGAATGTCAAGATGAACTTCAGTGGTGAACAGGGACAGGCAATCAGACAACTTTTAAATGCACATATGATTAGACGAGGCATTATGTGCTGTCTAAATTCCAGCGGTGGAAAGCGTCAACACTTGGCTGTTTCTCATGAAAAGGGTAAAATTACTGTGCTACAACTCTCAGCACTGCTGAAGCAAGCAGATTCCAGTCAGAAGAAATTAACTCTTACAAGGCTAGCTTCTGCTCCAATACCCTTTACTGTTCTCTCTATGGTGTCCAACCCAATCAATGAAAATTTCCTTGCTGTATGTGGACTTAAGGATTGCAGGGTTCTTTCCTTCAATGCCAATGGAGGAGTCTCTGAACAGCTAGTTCTGCAACCCCAGCTGGAAGCTGCCAACTATATCATAAAACCAGTTTGGTTGCCAGGCTCTCAAACACAACTAGCAATCATTACAGCAGATTATGTTAAAATATATGATCTATCATCTGATGTACTGTCTCCAGCATACTACTTCCTTATTCCAAGTGGCAAAATCAGGGATACTACCTTTATTCACACAGCAGAGGGGGAGATGTACCTCTTGCTGATGTCATCTGCTGGACATATCTACTTCCAGCTTCTCTGTGATGAGTCCTCTGCTCGACATGGCTCCTTTTACGTAACCAACATCATGGATGTAAACCATGCTGATGTAAAAGATAGCAATGGCAGCCTATGTGGAGGAGGGGTGTCTGTTTACTTCTCTCATGCTCTTCAGATGCTGTTCTTTAGCTATGCTGCTGGAAAATCATTCATGGCACCAATCACAATGGATATAGAAGAACTTCTGTCTGTTTTCTTGATTCAGTATAAGCCAACACCTTCCACTGGGAGTAAGAATAATGTCCCTCAACCACTTTGTGGCTGGAATGAAGTGTCTGGACACCCTGGTTTAGTCACTGCAGTTCTGCAACAGGCTGGTAATCCTGTTATTCTTATGGTGCAACCTGAGAAATGTCTCATGCAGGAGATAAAGATGGGGACCAAGGCTAAAATCATGGACATGGTTTCCATCAGACATCTTTCAACCAACACCACTAGCAGCATAGCTGGTGAGGAGAAGACAACTCTCATTCTGCTCTGTGAGGATGGAAGTCTCAAGATTTATATGGCAAACGCAGAAGCTACTGGATACTGGCTTCAGCCACAGTTTCAACCAACTGGCTCTCTTGCATTTACTAGGCCACAAAAGAAGAAAAAGGCATCCAAACTGCATAGAAGCTCTGGACTTGTCCATTTCAACCTGGACTTTTTTGAGCATTGCCAACAGCAGGTTGCTGATATCGAGTTTGGTGGTCTGGATATTCTGCAAGTTTACAACATTCAACAGGTTAAGGTTAGGCTTCAGAACAATAACCTGTATATTGCCAATACCAAGCCAGGGGGTTTCCAAATGGAAATATCTAACAATGACTCCAACTCTGTTATTGTTGCCATTAGAGTGCTGTTAGGGTCTCAAGACACCGTTAGGATTCCAAGCACCATTGAAATATTTGGAAGACCATTGCAAGTAAATCTGTCAAGAGCCCGTTGGTTTGAGCTTCCACTAACCAGGGAGGAAAGTATTCAATGCCATGGTAAACTAACAGTTACCTTTGGACCCACATTGGACCCAGATGGAGTAAATATGATAGATAGTATCCAGGTGTGGACTAAGTCAAAGGAATTGTTTGGTTGGCCAGAGGACAATGATGAATACTCATCAGGTATCTCAGCAGAAAGTGGAACGGATATTGAAAAGGTTTCTGTGCATCCTTTAGCACTGACACCAGTTGATAAGGTTGTTATGTCAACCTTGGAAACTTTGGACTCAGCTCTTTCTGTTTGTGATGCAAAGGTTTTATCTGAAACTCAGTTTGGGGTTGCTCTGTCTGTGTCAACCAAGCTTCTGGTTGCTCCTGGCCCTGCACTGGTTCAGAAAGCTACTAAATCTGTCCTTACTGCTTTACATCCAAACAAGGTCTCCTGCTATCTCCATACAGATGCAGCGCTTCTCAAGCATGCAACTGCAATGCTTGCCAGCACAAGTGATCTGGACTGTGAGAAGTTCCATCATCTTGTTGCCATTGCCAGGAACATTGCCGTGTCAAGGCCTAAAAACTTGGTGAAGTTTGCGGAAACTCATGATGAGACAAATCAAGGATCCAAAAAATTAGAAAGTAAGCAGACCAAGAGCCAGGAGTGTCAACAGTTCATGAACTTGTTAATAGAAGCATTCTGGAGGCTTCTAAAGGAGATACCAGCCAATTCTCTCGCTGGAGCTCTTGGACAGCCTGGACTGACACATGTTGAATCTACAGTTCAAGCTTTAGTTGAAATCCTTCATGCCTTCTCCTTTGTTGATCTTGATACTGCAGGATTCACTTCTGACCACTACATTAGCTTCTTACTTTGTGAAGATAAACGAGTTTCCTTTCCTGCCAGAGGAGCAATTGTCAGAGCTGTTAGACCAAGACCTAAAAAAAGGAAGCTAGTGGAAATTAGTACAGCAAAGGAGGGTTCCTCTAAACAAAGTTCAGCCCCTGCTCCTTCCCAACCTAGAGAGCAATCTGGGTCAAGGTATCAACCTCTACATGAAAACAATAGACATGATGATGAACAGGAAGCTGAGCTAAACCAAGGACCTGGAGGAATACACCTTGGTGGAGTAGCCGGAAATCTCAGGGAACTTCTTCCCATCCGTGGAAACCTCCCTGATATGCTTGATCTCCCTGCTGATGAAGCTATGGTTGAATTAGCAATAGCTCTAAGCCTACAGGATCAGGATGGAGGTGGTGGAAACCAGCTCTCACAAGGTCTTCAGGGATTGCAACAACTGGCCAACCTTGGCGAAGGACTTGCTGGAATCCTTGGAGGACATGACAATGAAAGTGATGGTGAAGATGTTGTAGAAGTAGATGAAGAGGATGAGGAAGAGGATGAAGAAGCTCCAGATGGTGCAGATGAAGCTGCTCAGTTTAGTGATACAACTGCTTCTGCTCCAGGAAGTGATGATGAAGGTTCTATTGGTGGAGAAGAGCAAGAAGGAGGAGAGAGGGAGAACGCAGGAGGAACTGGTGGAAGTGATTCGGGTGGCAGCTTAGCTGACATGGCTAGTGTGGGAAATCTATCCACAGACAATTACAGATATGATACTGAAGGTGAAAGAGAGAAAAGTAACTGTGAACCTCAAGTTGAAGATGCTGAAGAAACTGACAGAGAGTCTCGTTTAGCTGGCTTGCGACAGTTGCTTATTGAGAAACTAGTTTCTTATATAAAATCTTTAAAAGAAGTTGGTGGAACTCGATGCATTCCCTACATGCAGTTAGCTCTTGCTCTCAGCACAGATTTAGACCTGGAAAATGACAGAGAACATGCAGCCTTGAAGAGTCTGATCCAAGCACTTCTTAATGAAATGGACATGGGATCTACTCTTTCTACTGATCCTTCCTCTAGAAACGCTAAAAAAGAATTCCAACTTCTAATCCTCCGTTTGTTCAGTGTTCTCATGTCCAGAACTAGATCCTCTGGCTCACCAGGCAAGGATGAAGAGACTAACAGTGTAAGCAACTATGTTGGTTCAGCACTAGCCCAGGCCGGTCTTCATACTCATTGTTTATCCATACTGAAGAACCTGCTCCCTTACTGGCAGGGTCTACCTATAGACGATACTGGAGTACTTGCTGGTTGTGAACTCCTCAAACCTCTGGTGGTGTCTTCTGTTCCTGACATGGCACCCTTCTTCTTGAAGCAGTATGTAAAATCTCATACCAACGATATATTTGAATCCTATGCACAACTTCTCACAGAGATGTCGCTTCGGATTCCTTACCAGTTGAAGAAAATTTCAGGTAATTTTTTCTGACTTTTCTAATTCAATTAACAATATAATTTTTCAATACATTTTTTTTGTTCAATTTTTCTTAAATTTTTTTTTTCAATTAAATTGTTTTTTTTAATGTTTTTTTTTTAACAGATGGAGAGAGTCATCCAGGTCCTCACTTCACCAATGATTGGTTTTATCAGCTCTGTGAGCTTATGATGACTCCACAGGTAATTATTTTCTATGTTTGATCTGAGAAGGGTACCTTTGTGAATCGGATATGTCACTCTTTAAATGGAGACTCACTTGAAATTACGCCCACAGTCCCTTTAAGGTAGAGGGTCGGCCACTCATTTTTTCTAATTTGACACTTTAAGCACAAATGAGGCTCTTGAATAAATTTTTGATTCGGTATTTTACTTATGTTCAAACCCCTTGTGAATGTAGTAATAGTATCAAACAGTATCATTTTTAACAAGGCAGATTTAAAGATTAAAAAATCGATATGAGAAATGTTAACAAATATTTATAATTTTAATATCAAAGAAACAATGATTTACTATTGTTTGTTTTTTAAATGTAAAAATGAATTTTTCACAAATCATACACGAAATTTAGTGAATTAACAAAATCAGTTCAAAATATATCCAAGTCAAAACTCTTGACCTTCCAATTATAATATTTCGATTGTCTAGCTAGGAACTTTTGAATTAGATGCAGATAAGCCATTGACTGATTTTTGGCTTTTAAAAAAATTGAAGTTGAACTCATTAAAGTTCCACTCATTGGTCAAATATTCCAATCAATGATACAGACAGGTTTATAAAAGCATTTGATTTAAAGGGACTGTAAACGTAATTTAAAGTGACCTTCCATTCAAAGAGGGCAGTTCCTGATTTACAAAGGTACCCTGTAATCTTTTGATTTTTCATCAAGTAAAGAGAGTTTTATGTTAAAATCTCTTGAAGCCCACTTAAATTTCTGTATCACGTGGTGGACCCTGCGTACAGTGTCAACTCAACACAGCTGATGCGATCCTTATGAGAAACTTGAGACTAAACTTAAAAACTTCAAACAAAGTTCCTACAATTAAAAGTGTTTGCGTAGATTAATGAGAATAAGTTTAAAAACCTTGATCAGTCAAAAGTTTTAAGGGTACTGTTGTGAATTGAGCATTGCGATCTTGAAATTACGATATCAGTCTCACTAAATTACACTCGAAACAAAAACTCATTCCGTGAAGCAAAAGATCTCAAGCTCAACTCACCATAAACAGAAGATGTTAATCTTCAGTTTTCATACATAAAACTAAAAATCTTATATTTTTAGGCTCCCTTTGTGAAGCGTCAGGTTCGGAAGCTGTTACTCCTGATCTCCGGTAGCAAGGAACAGTACAGGCATCTCCGGGATATGCATACTCTGGAGACTAGAATCAGGAACGATAGAACAAAATCAACCTATTTATATTTAGTAATTTTGTTTTTTTATATTTTTCTTTGATCTGATTCAACTCTACTTTCTGCTCTAAACTCCTAAAAGCTATTATTAAAAAAAGACCGAGCTAAATGTCTAATTTTTAATGAAATATTGAACTAATGACAAAAAATTATCCTTCTGTTAATCCTTCTCCCTAAAGACCATTTGTTAACCCTTTATTAAAGAGCCTTAAACCCTTAAAATAAATAAAAATGAGTTACTTCTTTGTTTTGGACTAATTATTAAATTGTTCTGCGTGTGTATAGAGAAATTAAGGTGACCGTAAGCAAGGGTGGATTCAATCCGCTGATTGGAGAGGACAAGATTATCAGCCTTCCTTACGATACGCTTATAAAGCTGATAGAACAGTTAAAGGTATTATCAGTTCTCCTTACAATACTTAACAGTTGATAGAACAGTTAAAGGTATTATCAGTTCTCCTTACGATTCAATTCAGCTGATTATTTTAATTCTTTATTGCCGATTAAAAAAAAATACTTATGACAGGCGCATTAAGTTACGTATTCGAAATTTTCTATGTTTAGACATGTGTGGAGGTTGCTGAGAGTAGAACCTTGAACTGGCAGAAGTTCTGTATGAGTGATGAGACCGTTCTACCCTTTATCATCAAGATATCCTTCCTAGTAGATAACGGTGTTTCACCGTTCCTTCTCCAGCTTCTACAGGCAGCACTCTGCCCACAGCCTAAGGATAAGAACAGGTAGAACAAAAAGGTCGTCTTTTATCCCCGGGGTGTATACTTTGTATTTTTAAAAATAGAGAAGATGCTCGGATAGAGCCACAATTAAAAATTGCAATAAAAGATGGCCGCGAATCGCCCAGAAAGCGTGGCCTCGAGGTAAGTGGCTCACAGATTTATGCAGCAATACAAAAAAGTAAATATTCAGAATTTTTTTTCTGGATAAAACAAATTACCCAATATCTTCCTCATTAATATGAAGATTTTACGAAGACAGTTGTCATTAAGAACCTTGTTTACTTTTTGAGTGGTTCATAGGCGAACATAGACAATGCATAATGCATATCTCTAAACTATAATTAAAATATTTATTTTCTGAAACAGTTTAGGTTAGGTTTTACAACTTTGCCATTTATAATTTGATTTAAATACAATGTTTCATGTACGCCATTTTAATTTTTGAGAAAGGTTGCTGTTTTTACTTTTCATTTGTGTGGAAGTATCTTTAATCTATCACACTACCCTATAGTCTAATAGTGCCAAATCTGGAAGTTCTAGTCTAGAAGTCCAGTGAAGAGTGTACGCAAGGATTAGATGCATGGAGGGTCACTTGAAATTACGCTTTACAGTTCCTTTAATGGTGTCCATTGCCAAAAGGACCTTGTTAATGTGACTGGTCCAAGAGGACCTTGTTAATGTGACTGGTCCAAAAGGACCTTGTTAATGTGACTGGTCCAAAAGCGTAAATACAATGCTTATCTCTTTTGTACTTCATTATCCTGTAATCTAATATTGTCCCCTCTCTAGGTCTAAGTCTAGTAGTCCAGTAAAGAGTGTACGGAAAGATAAGATGAGAAGTGAAGAACCAGATGTTGACGGAGAACTGTGTTCTGCAGATGAGAACCTTTGTATTGCTCTCTCCCAGCAGGTTAGTTCAGTTTAGCTACGCTATAATAATGAAGCCGACTTTCGGTTCAAGCTTTTAAACAGCATGGATATTTACAAAACATGGCAACAAAAACAAGCAGCCAATTAAAAAAGCTTCTCTTGATTTACATGTAAACTCGTAATTCGAAAAAAGCTTGTTAACAGTAAACACATGAATAAAAAAGCCGTCTTCATTATATTGATAAAACCGCTTTCCACCGTATCAGGGTTCCTCTCTAACCCAAATTTCGGTCAGATTTCTTGACCACCAAATTTACAGCAGTTGAGATTTAGGTTTTGAGAGCATTTCAACAGTTCAGATTTAGGTTTATAGAGCATAAGATTTTTATTTAGTATTTGGTTGATATTTTGTTCCTTGAATCCGGATCCGGATCCAGGAAGCCGAATTGTTGTGGATCCGGATCCTAAGCACCGGGTAAAACCTGACAATCTTGTTTGCAGCATCAATGACAGTTTTGCTGTCTGGACAGATGATGACTGGTTTGTTGGACTGCCACCACGATAGTGTGGAAACAGCTCACCTTGCTATCCTTCTCTTCGGGGAATATTCTCTGTATGGAAGGAATAAGATGAGAAGTGAAGAACCAGATGTTGACGGAGAACTGTGTTCTGCAGACGAGAACCTTTGTATTGCTCTCTCCCAGCAGGTTAGTTCAGTTTTAGCTACGCTATAATAATGAAGACTACTTTTGATTCAAGCTTTTAAACAGCATGGATCTAAAAAACATGGCAACAAAAACAAGCAGCTAATTTAAAAAGCCTCTCTTGATTTACATGTAAACTCGTAATTCGAAAAAAGCTTAAAACATGAATAAAAAATTCGTCTTCGCTATATTGATTAAATCGCTTTCCGCCGTATCAGGGTTCCTCTCAAACCCCAATTTCGGTCAGATTTTTTGTCCAGCAAAACAGCAGTTCAGATTTAGGTTTTTAGAGCATAAGATTTTTATTTAGTTTTTGGTTGATATTTTGCCCCTTGGATCCGGATCCGGATCCAGGAAACCAAATTGTTGCGGATCCGGATCCTAAGCACCGGGTAAAACTATGACAAATTTAGACTGGAGTATCATTTTAATAAGAAAATCGAACAACTTCACTTTCGTTTACTTTTTTGTTTTTTTAACACTTAATATATTTAGGTGATGAGTTCAATCCATCCAAGTGGGTCAACCTTCCCAGTTAGTTCTAGTCTCTCCAGGTTTATTGAGAAGTTTCTCATGGAATGCAACACTACTGCTGTGAGATGGCAGGCTCATGCTCTACTGGTCTCTCTCCAGTCCTATTCTACACCTGGAGATAGAACCAGAATACTTGAAGTACTCTGGCAGCTCTGGAGCAAACTTGCAAACCACGGCAGGTAGGATAGATCAAAACCTTTTTTATAATAATATCTTTTCAAATAAACATTTGGGTGAAAACATGTGTTTTTGTAGAAAATTCCTGACAAGAGCTAAGCAAAGTCTCATAAATGAATAACAGACTGCCATTTATTGCGATATTTTTTACTTTTTGATCGAGTCATTTATCGAAGACTTCAACGCTGTGCTTTTAATTCTCTACGCAGATTCGGTTTTTATTAATGAGAGATAAATTAATGTTGGAGAGGTGGGTGGTACTGTTTATATTTAACTACATGACGTTTTTGTACAGCCCTCTCCTTTGTTCCATATTCTTTTGCAAGGGACTGTGTACGTTATTTCAAGTGACCATCCGTTCAAAGATGAAAATGCCTGAGGTACAGCGTCACCCATTAAACCCTAAATGTGGAAGATAGCGTCGGAAAGTAGTTAATTCTAATCATTTCTCCAGTCTTTCTATTAAGTAAGAAATGAGAAGTTACCCATTAAACCCTAAATGTGGAAGATAGCGTCGGAAAGTAGTTAATTCTAATCATTTCTCCAGTCTTTCTATTAAGTAAGAAATGAGAAGTCACTTTTGCAGAGAAACTACAAATCAAAATGAACTGTTTTTGAAAACAAAAACATCGAGTTATAATTCATAATTTATCAGACAAAGCTTTTAAGGTTACCGTTGTAGGTTGGAAGGTCACTTGAAATTACGGTTACAATCCCTTTAAATTAAAATAAAAGTTCTAAGTCTCCGTTTTTTCCTATTTTCTTTATGATTTTATAATTGTTTTATAATTTTGAAAACATCAAACGAGATGGACTAGTCTAATCGATCAAGGGGTCCCTGAGTCATGATCAGACAAACAGAGATTACAAATTTATATATATAAGTAGATATGTATTCTGTATTTTAGGCGGTCAGCTCAGTTTGTTGATTTACTTGGATACTTCTCCGTACAGGAGTGCAGGGAGGGAGCAGAGGAGTTCATGTCCAGATACTCTCTCATGGCAGTTGCGATGCTCAAGTAAGAAATATGACACAACAAAGCTTTAAAAAAGTTGCTAGGATAATACAGTGTGTCTGCTAGGTTTTTTTGCGTCACTTTCTGATCGGGTTCAAGCTTTTTTCCTATTGAAAACCAAACTTTTGAATTACCAGACCAGATTATAATGAAATACTTAATTTGTAAATCAAAATTAACAAAAAATTGTGTAATTAGCCATTCTTTTGTTAACATATTAAACTTGGTGATAGAACCAGCTTTAGAAAGACAATTTATTATCATTATTGTTATTGTTCTTGTTCTGGTTATTATTATTCTTCTTGTTATTATTTTGTTATTGTTATGTAATTATTACAATCATTATTATTGTTATTGTTATTATTGTTATTGTTATTGTTATTGTTATTGTTATTGTTATTGTTATTGTTATTGGTATTGGTATTGGTATTGGTATTGGTATTGTATTGGTATTGTTCTTGTCCTTGTCCTTGTCCTTGTCCTTGTCCTTGTCCTTATCCTTGTCCTTGTTCTTGTTTTTGTTCTTGTTCTTGTTATTGTGTAGCAGAATTTGAACTATCAAAGATCTACGACATCAGATAGCAAAGATAAAAAGAATAGAAAATTAAAATTTGTTTCAAGTTTGCAGTATCTTTAACAATAATATATTGTTAGAAAGCAGAACCGTATACTATCCTCACACTCTAACTCAGCAATCTATACCTCGCTAGCCCAGCTAGTTGATTTTACAGGTAGATCATTCTGCGTCCTTTTATGTTATTGGCATTAAACTCGAGAAAATGCTTCATGGCCTGGTCACTGAAATTTTGAGTTGTAGAAGTCTGATTTAATTTGATATGTATTTAATGTAACAAAGAAAGAGAATTATTTATGTCTCAGTAATACTGATATTCGGTGAAACTTCTAAAAGCAAAGAATGAGCCATTAAAACTAATTTTGTCTGTTCAAAGTTTCCAGGTATTGAGATCTATTTATTTGTAGGATTTTATCTTGAGTCTGATCCCTGTCTTGTCTGTAACAACCCAGAGGTTCCATTCTCTCCAATCAAACTCAGTAATCTTAAGGTTAGAAAAACGGGAACACTTACATTTACAATCAACATTTTACGCTGTATTATACAGTGTACATTCACTTTTTGTACTGTAAACCGTACTGTTATGTACTGTAAACCGTACCGTACAGTTTTGTACTGTAAACCGTACTGTTTTGTACTGTAAACCATACTGTTTTGTACTGTAAACCGTACTGTTATGTACGCCAGGAATTGGTGTAGCGCATTGGTCAATCAAGTGTCATTAAATAATCAAGGAAAAACGTATTTTCTAGTTTGTTTTGAACAATTTGCATTATTTCACAATTTTCACATGACGATCAACGATCCAGGTCCAAATTGAAACGGAATGAATTCTAACGATACGACTTCTACTGAATGAAAGTTGATTGTTTGTTTTGTTATGGTGTTTGTATGTTTGTTTGTATTAAATCAAATGTGAATTTTGTTCAGGTTGATACTAAATACACAACTAGTAACCAGATGATTAAACTCACTGGATCTCACAGTATCAGCAAGATTACGCTACGGATAGGAGATCTTAAGAGGCAGAAGATGGTTCGAACCATTAATATTTACTACAACAATAGGTAGGTTCAAGTCATTAATATATACTACAACAATAGGTAGGTTCAAGTCATAAATATATACTACAATAATAGGTAGGTTCAAGTCATAAATATATACTACAATTATATGTAGGTTCAAGTCATTAATATTTACTACAATAAAAGGTAGGTTCAAACCATTAATATACAATACAATAATACGTAGGTTCAAACCATTAATATTTACTACAACAATAGGTAGGTTCAAGTCATTAATATATGCTACAATAATAGGTAGGTTCAAACCATTAGTATTTACTACAATAAAAGGTAGGTTCAAACCATTAATATATAAAAGAACAGAGTTGTACACTGTACAGTTTGTTTATATTTAGATCTGTTACAAACTGTAGTATATTTGAAGAACAGAGGTGTACACTGTACAGTTCATAATATTTAGATCTATACAAACTGTAGTAGAGTTGAAGAAAAGAGTTGTACACTGTACAGCTTGTTTATATTTAGATCTGTACAAACTGTAGTAGAGTCAAAGAACAGAGTTGTACACTGTACAGTTTGTTAATATTTAGATCTGTATAAACTGTAGTAGAGTTGAAGAACAGAGTTGTACACTGTACAGTTTGTTTATATTTAGATCTGTACAAACTGTAGTAGAGTCAAAGAGCAGAGTTGTACACTGCACAGTTTGTTTATATTTAGATCTGTACAAGCTGTAGTAAAGTTGAAGAACAGAGTTGTACACTGTACAGTTTATAGTTAGATCTACACACGCTGTCGTAGAGTCAAAGAACAGAGTTGAACACTGTACAGTTTATATTTAGATATGTAAAAACCGTAGTAGAGTTGAAGAACAGAGTTGTACATTTTACAGTTTATATTTAGATCTGTACAAGCTGTAGTAGAGTCAAAGAACAGAGTTGTACACTGTACAGTTTGTTTATATTTAGATCTGTACAAACTGTATTAGAGTTGAAGAACAGAGTTATGAACTGTACAGTTTGTTTATATTTAGATCTGTACAAGCTGTAGTAGAGTTGAAGAACAGAGTTGTACACTGTACAGTTTNTAGATGCAACTTAAATCCGAAAGCCCGAGCCGTATATAAGGCTCAACAACAGCTTAGACCCGAGTCGTATTTTCTTGAACTTTTTAAATCGCCGGCTCAGTAAAACCAGAGCCCGCGATTAAAAATTTGGAAAATAAAACAAAGGTCCAAGCTGTCAGTAAGACTAATTTAAGACTCGAGCTTTTGGATTTAAGTTGCAACTATTTTTCCACTCAGTTTGGTTTATTAAACCGGTTAAATATTGTGTTTGACGGATTCTCATTGTTGAAATTGGCGGCTTCGAAGGATTTGATTAGAGTAAACTCAACCTTTAGACTAATCCTCCAATCAACTAAATCCCCACAAGCTGTCGTCAGCTGATTCATAAGTTGGATCTAAAATTAAGCTTTAAACCTTGGTCTAAGGAATTAAGACTCGAGTCGAAGCTTTTGAAACACACGGGCTCAGGTAAATACCCCNATATTATGTTTCGCAATCCCCATGTGTCCCACATTCCACACGGATGTTCCATATTCCGTATGTGAAGCTCCAGCGAAAACACCATTAATATATTCTGTATTTAGTGTCACAAGTGCCGAACTATTAACTACGACGAGAAGGATCCCTTCCTTTGTAACTCCTGTGGGTTCTGTAAGTATGCAAAGTTTGAGTATAGTCTGACCGCTAGGCCCTGCTGTGCTGTGGATCCTATAGAAACTGATGAGGATAGAACTAAGGCTCTCACTAGTATCAATAATCTCTTGGAGAAAGCGGATAAGGTGAGGTTTTATTCAGGGCTGTAAATAATTCTAATTTTTGTATTCCCCCCCCCCCTCTAATTGTTTTTGCCAAACTTGACAACTCAAAAGACATAGTTTAAAGTTTGATCTACTAATTGTAGCTCAGAAGTATCTCAAGCAAAAATTCTTAACTATTTGATATGTAATAAGGTGATAGCTTATAAGCCTTAGTTAGAACACCTCCTGATTATATTGTTATACTAGGTGGATAGACAGCTGATAGCTTATAAACCTTAGTTAGAACACCTACTGATTATATTGTTATACTAGGTGTATAGACAGCTGATAGCTTAAAAGCCTGAGTTAGAACACCTTCTGATCATATTGTTATACAAGGTGTATAGACAGCTGCTAGCTAATAAGCCTGAGTTAGAACACCTACTGATTATATTGTTATGCTAGGTGGATAGACAGCTGATAGCTATTAAGCCTGAGTTTAGAACACCTCCTGATTATATTGTTATACTAGGTGTATAGACAGCTGATAGCTATTAAGCCTGAGTTAGATCACTTACTGCTTATATTGTTATACAAGGTGTATAGACAGCTGATAGCTAATATGCCTGAGTTAGAAACACCTTCTGATTATATTGTTATACTAGGTGTATAGACAGCTAATAGCTAATTAAGCCTGAGTTTAGAACACCTCCTGATTATATTGTTATACTAGGTGTATAGACAGCTGATAGCTAATAAGCCTGAGTTAGAACGCCTCCTGATATTGGTGCAAGACGGAGAATCTGATGATTCTCCTGCTAACACTATATCTCCAGTTAACAAGTAAATTATTATTATGATTATTATTATTATTATTATTATTATTATTATTATTATTATTATAGTATTCTTATTTTATTGGTGAGAAAATTAAAAATATGTTTAAAATTTGAAATAGTTACAGAGTATAGAGTTACCTTCAAAGAATGAAACTTCAGAGAAGATTGTACGGACGGACTTTATACTGTCTGTTTTCTTTTGTTCATGATTTCCTGCAACTGTAAACTTATATTTTTCTTTGACAAATCATAAAATAATACTAAATTCAAGGCAAAATACTCAATTAAACCTTGTAATCGTGAGATTTCTGAGGTTCAGGTCGTCTTTACAATCTCATTCTTTGTGGATAACTCTGTTTTCTCCTCATCTGTTTATAGTAAAGAGAGTTAAAAAAAAAAAAAATTTATATTATTGCAGTTTTTTTACTGAATCCAGTCAACATTTTTCATCTTGTCTTTTAGGTCTATTCATCAGTTGAGTCAGAAGTACTGTGTTGAGTGCAGGAAAATATCAATATTTATTTTTTTGATTTTTTTATATTATTACAGGGGGTCATGTCACCTCCCCCCCTTTTATTTTGGGGTCGGTGTAGTTTCTTTTCTTTTCTCCAAAAGGTGGTTTGTTTTTAATTTGAAATATTAAAAATAATAATTTTTCTCAAATAGAAACCAGAATTTACGGACCTACGCTTAATTTCAATAAAAAAAATATCGTTGAAGTTTATCATGAATATAGAATGAAACTGTTAACACCATTCTAAAAGATCATATTTTTAAGAATTACACTCCAAGTCTTTAAATTTAAATTTGTATAAGCAAAGTTGGTTGAGCTATCCTTATTTTTCGATAGTTTTCTATTCCGACAACAAAATTACAGAGACTTGTGTGTTTTTGCAATAGCAGCAATGACAATTTAAAATTCGGTGATGGTGATGGACCTAACCTCTGTAGAGTAAAAAAGTAGATGTTAGTTCCACATTTATTGGAAATATATTTCGGTCTGGGTTGACCCTCTTCAGTTTTGACGATATAATAACCATCAAAATCGATAAAAAAAAAAACATAAAAAAAAAATTTTAAAATCACAAGAAGATAAACAAACAAAAAAGATTATTCAAAATAAAAATTTGGGCTGTCAAATGGACATAAGGGAAACTAACTCAGATTATGAGATGGAAAAAAGATAATTTTCAAATATTCACTTTTTAAAAACACGTTTTAAGACAATTATTATTCCTTGAGATTGTTTCTGTCACAAAGCAATGAGAACTTATGAAATGGAAATAAACTTACTTAGTGTTTCATTGATAATTACTAACAGACAAAGATGCCATTGGGAATCGGGTATGTAACTCTTTAACTATAGAGTCACTTGAAATTTGTTTACAATCCCTTTAACTGATTTAATCTAGGCCTGGTGTCTGAGCTTCTTAATCTGAATTTAAGACGAGGATCTTCTTCCACTAGGTAGGATTTGTTAAATGTGAACTTCTGACCACGGATTGATCAGTCTCGTCACTCGTGTTTAAAGGGACAGTAAAGGAAAAATGAAAGGGGGTATAGGCTGAAAGCTAATCACTTTAGCTCTTGATCGCGACCCATGAAAGTTATATCTGATGTTCCTCTCTCGAGAAATTTATATAAGCTGTGTTAAAATTATACGAAAGTTCATATATGTAAAATTTTGATAATCTTAAACTTAAACCAATGGCAGAGCAGTATACTGGTCACGTGTCTCCGCCTGTATCACGTGACCACTTTACTGCACTGCCATTGGTGGAATTTCTGGTCAAGCAATACGAACGTATAAATAATATTATGAATTAAATCTATTAAAAATAGAAATAACCAATATAAAATTAGAATTGGAGTAAACCTAAGTTACAATTAGCTTTCTATGGGATATTATCGTCTTCAAATTGGTTGCATATTTGAAGAATTTGATCAACCTACTACTTTTATACAAAATTGTATATATATTAATTTTCGTATAAATTTGACACAGTTGTATATCAATTTCTCGAGATAGGAACATCAGACATGACAAAGGATGTATTTAGGAGTTCTGTCCAAGTATTGATCTGTCTACTGACAAAGGATGTATTTAGGAGTTCTGTCCAAGTATTGATCTGTCTACTAACCAAGGATATATTTAGGAGTTCTGTCCAAGGATTGATCTGTCTACTGACCAAGGATAACCAGGAAGCAACTGATCAACTGAATTCTCTTCTATATGACAAGATCAATACTGCTCTAAGAGGAAGTGACCAGGTTTGTTGGAATGAAAAAACTTCTTTATTTGAAAGAAATCAAATTATTGTATTTTTGGTTCTTCGTTTTAGGGTTCAGGTTATTTGGGTTTTTTTGCTGTTGTAACCAGGCCAAAACAATCTGAACTCCCACCCTTATCCCCCCAAAGTATTTTGATTTTTTACCCAAAGGATTTATCCCGTATCCGTCTAGCTTAAATAAGATTTAAATATTAGAATATATTTTTGTAGGCTCTTGGTAGTATACGCCAGGAGATGATACTTCTGTCAGCTGTTGTCAAGCAGATGGATTCTTGCTGGGAGAGTAGGCTTAGAACCCTTATCAAGCTATTCATCCAGGCAGCAAGGTATAATTTAGACAACAGTTAAACTGTTGTTCAAGTTAGGAAATTATTTAATCTATCTGTACCTTGTTAAACTTCTTCACAAAAAAGTACGATTTTGATTTACAGATCTTTAAAAAATTTTATTTATGCCTCAAATAAATCCTAAAGAATTTTTCTACAACACTGCATACTCAGTTCAACTACCTTTCATAGCCGGTTTGTCCCTTTAAACATTAAAAGTTTTAAGACTTTTAAGAGGCTTCACGAGAATCTGAGTTGTAAATCCTGTCAAAATTGCATGCTAGACAAGTTTGCTTTTTAACATTACTCTGACAAAGATACAAAGATATTATCCAAAACGATGAACCAGTTTATAATGTAATTAAAGCAAACTTATCGAGAATTCAATTTTGCAATGTGATAAATAACTCAGATTTTTGTGGAGCGATTTTACCGTAAAAAAATCCTAAATGTCCGAAAACGGTTTTAGATTCAACTATATTGAATTATCATTTAAGGAGAATAAATTCATTATAATTTGATTATTTAGGCAAGGGAACTCTCCCACCGTGCTGGAATCCATCACCCTGCCTTGTCTTAACATTATCCAGGACATACTCCAATCCTACAAGGTAATGTGTAGGATCTATCCTGTCTTGTCTTAACATTATCCAGGACATACTCCACCAATCCTACAAGGTAATGTGTAGGATCTATCCTGCCTTGTCTTAACATTATCCAGGACATACTCCAATCCTACAAGGTAATGTGTAGGATTTATCCTGTCTTGTATTAACATTATCCAGGACATACTCCAATCCTACAAGGTAATGTGTAGGATTTATCCTGCCTTGTCTTAACATTATCCAGGACATACTCCAATCCTACAAGGTAATGTGTAGGATCTATCCTGTCTTGTCTTAAAATTATCCAGGACATACTACAATCCTACAAGGTAATGTGTAGGATCTATCTTGCCTTGTCTTAATATTATCCAGGACATACTCCAATCCTACAAGGAAATGTGTAGGACCAAAAAAAGGTACAATTTGAACAATTCGTTTTTATCTTAGGTTCCTTTGTCCCCTCGCAAGAAGGAAAAATCTGCTAGTCCAGAATTAGAAGTTCAGAAATATGCCCCTATTGATATACAGGTAATAAGATAATTCATTTTTATCAGAATTTTTTACGTAGTTTTTCTAAAATAAAAAAATAAAATCATTTGTTCCATATTTGAACGGTTAAAAAAAAATTATCAATTCTCATATAAATTATAATATTATAATAAAAACAATCACAGCTCCTTATATTTTAGTACAGTACAGTACAGTACAGTACAGTACAGTACAGTACAGTACAGTACAGTACAGTAAATTAGGCAGAATTCGGGTGTCCGTTGTGATAGGTTTCCAAATTGATTTAAAAGAGGGCATAAAGTAAAAAAAGTCTCAAAATTTATTTCCTTTCTTTTTGTCACTTAAACACGAGCTGTAAGACCATATCTCATGTCATTCCTTAAACTTGTTGTTTGGTTGGTTGAGTGATCGATTGATTGAAGTTGTGATAGGTTTCCAAATTGATTTAAAAGAGGGCATAAAGTAAAAAAAGTCTCAAAATTTATTTCCTTTCTTTTTGTCACTTAAACACGAGCTTTAAGACCATAACTCATGTCATTCCTCAAACTTGTTGTTTGGTTGGTTGAGTGATCGATTGATTGATTGATTGATTGATTAATTGATTGTTTGATTGATTGCATAGGGTTGGTTGAATGGTGAGCTAGGGTTCAAGGATTGGCAGGCGCAAGATCAGGTTCTAGAAGAGCAGACTACTGATAAAAGAATCATTCAGAAGTATTTTACAAGGTATGCTTTTTGTATTAATCATAGCCTCTTCCTTTCAAAATTAGATCTTAGTTCATTTTGGTAGATACAGACATGTACATTGTACATTTACGGTTCAGTGGGAGATACAGACATGTACATTGTACATTTACGGTTTAGTGGGAGATACAGACATGTACAATGTACATTGTACATTTACGGTTCAGTGGGAGATACATACATGTACATTGTACATTTACAGTTCAGTGGGAGATACAGACATGTACATTGTACATTTACGGTTCACTGGTAGATACAGACATGTACATTGTTTATGTACGGTTCAGTGGTAGATACAGAACTGTACAAATACATTTACGGTTCAGTGGTAGATACAGACATGTACATTGTACATTTACAGTTCAGTGGGAAGTTCCATTTTCTCAAAAATTTAGATTTTAAATTAACTCTGTATTATTTCCTGTTCATGCAAGCCTATTGTGCACAAAAATACCAATTAAAAAAACTTAACTGTTCAACTTTTACATAAAGCGGAAATGGACATATAAAATTTGCTTTTGCTATGTATAGACCAGGGGTCACATTAGAACGAAAAAAAGAGTAAATATTTTTTTAACACTAAGCAAGTTTCACTTTTCTTATGGCTTGATTTTTTTTCATTGTGAAGATGTCGAAACTGCTTACAAAAAAATTGACTGGAACCAATTAATCCCGGAGCTCTTTTCTTGATTTCAGCTTTTGTAGATTTTTCATTTAATGCTCATAAAAGCTTTTTGTTAATTAAACGAAACGAGTAAGCGTAAATTATCTGAAAATAAGACATATTTATTTTTTCATTTTTTTAATATTTTAAAATAATTTTGTTTAAGAAAGATGATGAGTGTACCATTTAAATCTTATCCAGGCAAGAATGAGGAAGCAAATAAGACAGGGTTTTTTATTACTTTTGTTTAAAGGGTACATTTGTGAATCCTCACTTGAAATTGCGTTTACAGTCCCTTTAGGACTATAATTTTTCCTAGATGGAGAGAGAGTGCAGTGAACAAAACCTGGAATAGAACCCAGCCTAGACTTCAGGATAGAACATATCTCAAGCAGATCCTCTTCAATAGATCCTGCAGGGGGGCCAGGGAGGTCACAGCCAACCTCATCCTCAAGTTCATGGAGTCGGGACCTCCGGACCGTAAGAGGGACATGGTGGACACTCTGACATCCTTCCTGTCCGAGGTTGGGAGGTCGGGGGAGGCCAGTAAAGAGTTCATCAACCTCTACAGAAAGGTAGAACTGTCTATAACAAAAAATATGTTCAATTATGTTGTTTTTCGCTAATAATTGTGGTTACATGTTTTCTTGTAAAAAAAAATAGGAAAACATTTGTGTTTTTTTGTTGAATAAGTTTTTATCCACATCTCTTCAGATTGCAATTTTCTGTTGGAAACTGGAGTAGTTTTTTTTTTTTGTAAATTTAGCAGAACACTTCAATGGTTAATTCCGAAATGTGATACCCAATTGACTGAAAAGATCCAACTTAATTACCATTTTAAATCCAGTTTCCAACTCAGGGATAGAGACTGGGGCATGATTATCTTGGTTTTTTTATCCTGCATTTTGTATAGGTTGTTGAAAATGGGGACTGGCATTACTACCTGGCTATTAAGGGGGTTCTCCAGGTGCTCGCCAAGCTGATCGAAACCGAGATTAACTATTTCGGATTTCTAGAGCAAACCAGGCTGAGTTCTGATCTAGCCCTGGGTTATGCTGTCAAGGAGTTGACCAGCCTACTCTCTAGCCTACTCCAACACTCTAGGATTAAGACCAACTATAAGTCTAAGCTTGTTTCCGCTGTGCTAGGTGGATATTTGTCCCTGAGACGTCTTGTTATCCAAAGAACTAAGATGATCGATGAGACCCAGGATAGTTTGCTGGAACTACTGGAGGATCTCACCTCAGGAACAGAGGAGGAAACCAGAGCGTTCATGAAGTGCTGTGTGGAGACGGTTCAACGGTATCCTCCAGACGATCATCTTACTCCGGTCTTTATATTTGAACGTCTGTGTTCTATCATATTCCCAGAGGAGGCCCATACTGGTGAGTTCTATATGATCCTGGAGAAGGATTCTCAACAGGAGGAGTTCCTTCAGGGTCGAATGTTGGGGAATCCTTACTCTAGTAAAGAGCCTGGACTGGGTCCTCTCATGCGGGAGGTAAAGAACAAGATATGTATGGATTGTGAGCTGGTAGCCCTACTTGAGGATGATAATGGGATGGAGCTCCTTGTCAACAATAAGATCATCAGTCTGGATCTTCCAGTGCAGGAGGTCTTTAACAAGGTCTGGCTCCCAGAGATGGGAGAAGGAATACCTATGAGGATTATCTACAGAATGAGAGGACTGTTGGGAGATGCTACTGAGGAGTTTATTGAAAGCTTGGATAAAAAGGAAGGAGAGACAAGTGATGATGAGGAAATTTATAAGCTAGCGGAGGTTCTTGGAGAATGCGGAGGCTTGAAGGTGATGTTAGATAAACTCTCCAGCATCCATTCTCTTTCCAGCAAGACCTTGATGGCAGTTATCCTGAAACTGTTGGGATACTGTTGTAAACTCCAGTCTAACCGTCAGAAGCTTCTAAGTCCTGATCTGAGAACAACAACAACTATGCTGAGATCTCTTCAACTCTGTTTATCTGCCGGTGAGGGTCAAACTGTCGTAGTGGCAGGGCAACCTAGTCTTACAGAAACTATTCTTGAGCTCATGGAGAAGCTGTTAGTTGAGGCAGCCACCAGTCTCAAGTCTGTTGTAGATTATCAAGGGTTTGCGTCTTCTACTGAGGCTGAGATAACAACACTATTGGATCATGCTGTTCACATGAAACCTGGAACAGATCTTCATCATAGACTCATGAGAGTTCTACCCTTCCTCACCTACGCCAACCCTGACAATATGAAGCTGGTGATCAACCACTTCACGGAGGTTCTCAACTTCAACAGGTTTGACGAGGGGCACACCAGCGAGGATGAAGCAAGGCTAGAAGCCTGGGTTGCACTCTGTGATGGTATAGAACGAAGTGAGCTAGGAAACACAATGAAGAATGAAATACTAAGCCTGGGTATCCTGGCAAGGTGTACAGATTATATCAAGGAGAATGCTCCCCCCAGCAAGGATATTCTACTGAAGACGGACAGCCCGGCCTGGAAGGAGTTCTCTATGAAGCCCAGCATCAAGTTTATTCTCCGAGCTCTGGTTGGATTAGCCTCAGGGCACTCTCAAACACAGGAGGCATTAGCTGGAACTGTTATCGGAGAACTGCATCTTCTAGAACAGATGTCTAGTGATGAACATCTAGGTTCTCTTGCGTAGATTTTCTGATCAGTGGGAAGTTCCATTTTCTCAAAAATTTAGATTTTAAATTAACTCTGTATTATTTCCTGTTCATGCAGGCCTATTGTGCACAAAAATACCAATTAAAAAAACTTAACTGTTCAACTTTTACATAAAGCGGAAATGGACATATAAAANGTTAAAGCTGAGCAGTCCTTGCTTCAGCAGTTCCAGGGTATAGGAGAAGAGTCTGGTCTAGCTTGTGTTATCTGTAGGGAAGGATACAGGTTCCAACCTAGTAAAGTCCTGGCTATCTACACCTTTACTAGACGGTGCTCTCTAGAGGATGCAGAGAAGGGTGGAAGGAAGACTATGGGGTTCTCAACTGTATCCCATTTCAACCTTGTTCATGTTGATTGTCATCTAGCCGCTGTTAGACAGGTAGATTTACAGGTTTCATTTGCTGTTTGATTTACAGACATCAAGTTTTGTTCTGCTATTTTTTAGATTGATTTTTTGATTCTGTCTAATCAGAATTCCAACTTTAATTGTTGCTGTTTTGAGGAAATAATTTGTGATGTTAAATACACCTAATAGAGAGCAACAGCTAGAACTTAAAAGAAGAAATATATGATACAGGGATACCCACATAGGATGAGGCAATGCCCGATTCTGAACGATACCCTTAACAGCTTTGTCTGATCAAGTATAAATTTGATATCCATGTTTATAATGTGGAAAACTGGTTATTTTCGATTGTGGATTCTTTGCAAAAGTCCATTTTTAGTATTTATAGTTTTTAAGATAATAAAGTGTTTTGCACATTTTTACTACATTAAAGCATACATGGAATTATTAGAACTTAACACTTCCTAGTAAACCGACAATAGCTATAGCATTCTGATCAGATAAAGGTTTCAAGAGTATTGCTGTGAAACGGACATTGCCATCTTTGCGTGGAGGATAGTTACTTGAAAATACGTGTACAGTCCCTTAAAGTAATATATTGTCAAGGCGCGTGGTCGTGAGGAATGGGAGAGTGCTCTGCTGCAGAATGCGAACACTAAGTGTAACGGACTTCTTCCTCTCTGGGGTCCAGGGGTCACGGAGTCAGCTTATGCTGCTTGTCTTGCCAGGTAAGCACATCCTTTATCTGCATTTTGGCAAGGATTTTCTTCTACGAAAAGCTTTTTTTAACATTTTAACATACTATTGGTACCGGCAAGATTAATTGGAATCTGGGAAGTGAACAGAAGGGTCTGTCATAGGATTGACTGCAGTTGTTATTACTATTATTAAAGGGGCCATTTTGATTTAGTTGATTGAAAAAATTACCAATTTATTATTATTTTATCCATTTATGTATTAGTTTGTATTAAAAAAAATATTTATGTGTAACTAAAATTTTATCTTTTGTTTTATTTAGGCATAACAGAACTTCCTTGCCCATTTTGTGTTTCTCCCTTGTCCTTTAGATACTGCTTTATCTTTTCTATCCTTATCTTACTTTCCCTCTTGCACCCCTTGATTACATTCTTCTAGTTCTCCGCCTTTTAATCAAGTTACATTTTATCTATTGTTTTATTTAGGCATAACACTTACCTGACAGAGGCAACAGGGCAGCGAGATATTGGATACCAGGTATATATTGTATATTGAATATTTTATATTGTAAGAGCAAATGTTACCTTAATGGAATATTCTAAACATTTGCTTTTATTATGCGACAGTTAAACCCTAAAAAAGCCATACATCGAAAGAATTTATCAAATGTCGTCTTGACAATTTATAAATTTTTTAAAAATACATTCCAAAACGATGAACAACTCTAACCTGTGTTTAGAGTACTATCCACGACCTGAAGCTCCTCCTGATCAAGTTTGCACAAGAGAAGAGTTTCAGTGTTGACAGTGGTGGTGGAGGTCCTCAATCCAACCTTCATCTACTACCCTACCTAGTACATATGGCACTCTATACCATTAACTCCTCTAGGTAACTCCCCCCCCTTTAACCCTTAATTTTCTAGGTTATTCAAAACAAGTTAGGTAGTCTCTAAAAATATTTTAAATTTAAATAAGTATCAAAATTGTACGCACCCTTAAATCATCCTGGAGCAATATAACTAATTTTAATGTGTACATGCTATCAGGGCAAGTGGGCGTGAAACCCGACAGTTGGAGGCGTGGCTAGATGCCCCTCCCACCCTATGGCACAGCCAGTCCTTAAGTGTTGATGGACCATTCTATCAAACTATCCTGGCTCTTCTTCTTCTCTCACCATCCGTCTGGTCTGCTAGAAGAGCACAGGTATACATTATTTTAATCAATTTATACTCTTTGCTTTGGTGTCAATGTTTGTTTGTTTATATTAAACGTCAAAACTCACATGACCCCAGGGATGGTTTATTGATAGGAAGAAATGAAAAATTTTGATATTTCTTAATTTTTGAAATGCGCCAATTTTAACAGAAAAATTGGCAAAAAATATTTTTAATGCATAAATGAATAACGGCAAAAGCATCAAGTTTATTCTCCGAGCTCTGGTTGGATTGGCCTCAGGGCACTCTCAGACACAGGAGGCATTAGCAGGAACTGTTATCGGAGAACTGCATCTTCTAGAACAGATGTCTAGTGATGAACATCTAGGTTCTCTTGCGGAGGCTGTTTTAGAAGCTGTACGAGATCATCCGGAGGTTGGAGTAAAAGTTGACGAGGTCAGAAAGGCCACTAAGGAGGAGAAGAAGAAGCTAGCTATGGCAATGAGAGCCAAGCAGCTGAAATCTATCGGTCTGAAGACTAATGAGAAAGGACAGGTTAAAGCTGAGCAGTCCTTGCTTCAGCAGTTCCAGGGTATAGGAGAAGAGTCTGGTCTAGCTTGTGTTATCTGTAGGGAAGGATACAGGTTCCAATACATTTTATCTATTGTTTTATTTAGGCATAACACTTACCTGACAGAGGCAACAGGGCAGCGAGATATTGGATACCAGGTATATATTGTATATTGAATATTTTATATTGTAAGAGCAAATGTTACCTTAATGGAATATTCTAAACATTTGCTTTTATTATGCGACAGTTAAACCCTAAAAAAGCCATACATCGAAAGAATTTATCAAATGTCGTCTTGACAATTTATAAATTTTTTAAAAATACATTCCAAAACGATGAACAACTCTAACCTGTGTTTAGAGTACTATCCACGACCTGAAGCTCCTCCTGATCAAGTTTGCACAAGAGAAGAGTTTCAGTGTTGACAGTGGTGGTGGAGGTCCTCAATCCAACCTTCATCTACTACCCTACCTAGTACATATGGCACTCTATACCATTAACTCCTCTAGGTAACTCCCCCCCCTTTAACCCTTAATTTTCTAGGTTATTCAAAACAAGTTAGGTAGTCTCTAAAAATATTTTAAATTTAAATAAGTATCAAAATTGTACGCACCCTTAAATCATCCTGGAGCAATATAACTAATTTTAATGTGTACATGCTATCAGGGCAAGTGGGCGTGAAACCCGACAGTTGGAGGCGTGGCTAGATGCCCCTCCCACCCTATGGCACAGCCAGTCCTTAAGTGTTGATGGACCATTCTATCAAACTATCCTGGCTCTTCTTCTTCTCTCACCATCCGTCTGGTCTGCTAGAAGAGCACAGGTATACATTATTTTAATCAATTTATACTCTTTGCTTTGGTGTCAATGTTTGTTTGTTTATATTAAACGTCAAAACTCACATGACCCCAGGGATGGTTTATTGATAGGAAGAAATGAAAAATTTTGATATTTCTTAATTTTTGAAATGCGCCAATTTTAACAGAAAAATTGGCAAAAATTATTTTTAATGCATAAATGAATAACGGCAACTTGAAGAGCAGCAGCTAATGCACCCTAAAAGTCAAGTTATATTTTATATTTTCAGGTCTAAATATTATATATAAATATTGCTTGTCTGTCAGTTTGTATCCAATAAACGACTGAACTGATCAGGACCGTTTTTGTGAAAACTTATCAGGAACGGTTTTTGGACTGCCAAACTTTTAAAATTTATTCTGGAACATTTGCTTCGTTTTGAATAACAATGAAAAATGTTGACTTAAAATCAACAATTTTTAATAGAAAGGGGGGTAGTGGGATGAAAGCCTAGTCATCATAAACATCACAATGTTTTTTTAAGGAATACTGTGATATTAATTTTTGAAAATATTTCTAGATTCTGCAGAGATTGCTTCTGACAGCTCAGGTTCGTGCAGCTGAGCAGAACACGTCGGTTAACCTAGTGGAGGTTGCAGAGTACACGGTGTACAGGCAGACAGTTCTATTCTTCGCTATTACAGATCTTATCATCAGGGAGATGTTTACTGGGATACAGGAGAACCAGGGACAGGTCAGTTCAGATCCTTGTACAGAAACCGCGTTAGCGGACTGATAGCGGTCTCCCTGGCAGCCTATATAGCTATACTGTACACTTACAACTGTTTACTTATAGTAATGGGTTGAGATGCAGGGGTAAGGACAGTCTTGGTCTATTAATTGGGCATACTATAAAAACGCTACCCTATAAATATGCTCCCCTTTTAAATATGCAGACCTATAAATACGCTACCCTATAAATATGCTCCCCTTTTAAATATGCAGACCTATAAATACGCTACCCTATAAATATGCTCCCCTTTTAAATATGCAGACCTATAAATACGCTACCCTATAAATATGCTCCCCTTTTAAATATGCAGACCTATAAATACGCTACCCTATAAATATGCTCCCCTTTTAAATATGCAGACCTATAAATACGCTACCCTATAAATATGCTCCCCTTTCAAATATGCAGAATTACAAATACGCTACCCTATAAATAACTACCCTATAAAAATGCTACCCTATAAAAATGCTACCCTATAAAAACGCTACCCTATATAAACACTACCCTATAAATACGCTACCCTATAAATACGCTACCCTATAAATACGCTACCCTATAGAAACGCTACACTATAAAAACGCCACACTAAAAATGCTTCACTATAAAAACGCTACGCTACATAGGCTATATTCGCTACAAGTGTATTTTCTGTTTCTGTTTTTGTATAAGATTTGAATAATTCGTCGTAAATCGAAAAATATACAGTGTACCAAAAATTATTATATTCATTCATTCTTGACTAAGTATTTACTTTTATTTTATGACATTTTACATGTATATAACAGCCACATGCACACCTCTTTGAGACTCCCTTAAGTTTAAAATTTAAATTACATAGAGGACAAATTCTGGTGATGGTTTGGTCTGGATTATGACAGTTATAAGGTGTACCTGGATCTAGCCGAACAAGCTGATCAACTGTGAAACATACAGTTTCCATCAGAAGGAGTTATTGGTTGAGTTAATGAGGAAAAAAAAATTCTGTTTTTGGTAATCTCTGTTCATCCATTTTCCATCCTTCTTGAAGTTGTAACAATCCACCGGTTTGCTGCCCAGACTTACATAAATCAGATATAACAATCGGACTATTATCCTTGTCTTGATACATCTATATTTCGATAAATTTTCTTCGGTTTTTGCAGCAGCAACCAAAGTTGCATGGTTATTGCAACTGCTAATTCTGATCCACGAGATCCACGAGATCCACTAGCTTTCATTAACCTTCTTTTTCTCAATATATATTATTTAAATGAAATTTTGGTCTATATAATTATATATTAACAAATGTATGTAAACAATATCTCATAATCAATAGTTCTCATCTAAAAATAGTATAGCCTTGGGAGCGTTTTTATAGTGTAGCATTTTTATAGGGTAGCGTTTTTATAGATACATTGACCAAAAGGTTATGATTATGTACAATGCAACTGTAGAGTACATGAATTCACATGATTATGTACAATGCCACTTAAAAGTTAATGAATTAACACGAGTATGTGTAATGCTACTGTACAGTAAATGAATTAACCTTAATTTACAAGATTATGTATGTACAGGAATGGTGTGTAACACTAGCGGACTGGATTAGAAACAGTGATGAGATAATATTGAGCCGATCCACTAGTATCCTTCAAACCTTTCAACAAGATCTTATTCCAGCCCAAGGTAAGATATTGATCCACTAGCATCCTTCAAACCTTTCTACAAGATCTTATTCCAGCACATATGGTAGGTATCGATTTTACCCCTCTCTCTCCCAAGACTAAAACCCTTGGAATCAGATGCGAAATTTCAATATTTCAAAATGAAATTTGATCATTTAAGGAGCTGTTTTTACCATTGATCAATTTTATATGAAATTCTTAAACGTTATTTCAAGACTATTATTTTATACGTTTTTTTACTCGTTTCCCTAGTTAAAATGAATAGGGTAAAAACACTAAAAACTTAAGTACAAGACGTAAATAATGCAAGGATTAGTACTAAATATTAATTTGTGACAAGATATTGTTTAAAGGGACTGAAAGCACAATTTCAAGTTACCATCCATTCACAAATGGCAATGCCCGATTCACAACGGTACCCTTTAAAGTATTTTCTGATCATAGTATGAATTAGATATCCATGTATTGTTTATCTAAACTGTTTATTTTCATTTGTGGTTTCTCAGCAAAAGTGACTTGCGCAAATTATGGAGAAATAAAAAAATTTTGGAGTCACTCTTCCAGATTTTTATCAGATTATGGTTTCAAAGGTACCGTTTGGAATCTAAGGATTCCCATATTTAAATCATCACTCAAAATTACAGTTACAGTTTACAATTTAATTTTTATTAGGAGTTGAAAAAAAAGTTTTGTGAACCCGAAAATGTTTCAGATATGAGTGAGGTTCTTGATGTGTGTGGGTTACTCACAGAGATACCTTCAGCTCCAAGCTCCATCTTGGAGGTTCTATCACTCCTACCTCCAACAAGTTAGTTTTGCTCCAATACTGGAGGTACTATCCCTCCCACCTCCAACAAGCTAGCTTCTATCTCTATACTGGAGGATAACGAAAACATATTAAGAAAAAAAATATATAAAATATAATATTCATATCTAATCCCCGTTCGCTTTAATCAAGTAACACTTTAAAACAATCGAATTATCAATTTTTGATTTGTTTTTGAGAAACTTGAAATTTTTTTGTGTGCAAAATGTCAAACATGATAAAATTTGTGTGATTTTCCGATTATTATTATTTTCTGCATCACAATTCACAATTCACAATTCACATGCTTTAATTTTTGTTTTTGTGAGTTTAAAATTGTTTAGTATTTGTTAGATTCAATTATTGCTTTTAATGTTTCATCTTCAACCAATTTGTGATCTTGTATTTTGGTTCCTTGGCGGCAATCCAAAATATACAAGTAACAAGGAGGTTGTTTAATAAATATTTAATCACTCTTTCTTTTTCTTTTTTCTTTTTTAAATCTGGATTTTTTTATGTAAATATACGTTTTGTGGGGGTTTTTGGCAGGGTATAAGAATAAAGGGAAGGGAAATGGCGCTGATTTGGCATGAGAAAGCCAGTCACACCGCTTTGTAGACGAGTTCGGTATTACTCACCCACACTCTTTTGGTACAGGCACACAACATGACGACAGTCAAGGAAATTGCAGAACACTGTTGTCAATTATAATTAAGCTTGAATAACATATAGTTTATTGTAAACTTTAATAAAATTATATTCTTTACATGAAAATTGGCTTATATTGTTGACTTAAATGTATAGATAATATATTTTAAAGTAAACAATTAACAATAAACAAATCTACTCTCCTATACTGTTACAAATACCGAGATTCTTACGTACTGTACATACCTCTCAAAATATATATACTATAGAATAACAGGTGGCAGCATTTGGTTTGGGAAGTGTTAGACTATGGAGGTTATGCAGTACAATACATAAATGTCCAAATGTTCAGTAATTTTGGGGGGGATTTTGAAGATTCACTTTCCAAGCTTTCTCTTATCTTATTATCTTTACTTTGATTAATCAAACATGCATAAATATTTTTGTTATGAAATATTATTTTATTTAGTTTCTTCATATTCTTCATTTTTGTCGATTCTCCTAAATCAAAATCTACACAAATGTTAAGACCCCAAAAAGGAAACTCGAGAGTTTCGTTCAACGATACTCTTTTAAATTTTGGCTGTTATTCTATAGTATATATATTCTGAGCCATACCTACAGTACACACCTTCGTTTCGGTATTACTTACACACACTCTTTTGGTACAGGCACATATACATGACGGTTTTTGGACGTGTAAAAGGTTCGTTACAAACCTGAACTTTTAAAAATTTCAAAATTGTTCATTGTAAACATTCGCCACTAAAAACGAACCAAATTTGATCGTGTTGATTTGATATTGATCGGTTTTCCTTTATATTTAGAAGGGATAGGATAAAATTGAAGATTTGATAAGAATCCAACATTAAAGGCGTAATACAGTAAGACCCATAAAACTCTGGACTGTGAAGAAGACTGACAGGGGTTAGTTATGAGTTTGAGTAGCCAATTGAACACCTATTGGTCAATCAGTTGATTTTTAACTACTGACAAACAACATCAAATTAGTAAAAGACGCACATAAGATTGCTTCAATGTAATCTACATATTGGACAATTTTGTGATCTTGCTGTAAATTGAAATTACAAGATCAAAATTTCTAAAAATTAAATCTTAGAATTTTCAATTCATTTTTTTTAATCGTGCCATTTTTTCCATGGTGAGGACCATAAAACAATGGAATAGAAAGACGACATTACATTGATGCTTAAGTGTGTTATAAAGCAAATGGTTTTACTAGTACCCCCCCCCCCCCCGGGATCCTAAGTGTACGGTTGTCAAGGTTGGATTGAAGAAAGTTTGCTGTGTTAATTAAAATCTCAGCTGTATAGATGTTAGTAGAAGAAACACCAGCTGACCAGACGCTGCAACTTTTGATTGAGATGAACGAAACTTAGGAATTTAAGGGCTTCGAGAAAGTTAGATTAAAATTAATTTAATTCTAACTTCTCATTTGAAATGAACAGTAGCAAAACAACTTAAAGGTTGTCTTTTAATTTTTAAATAGTTTGCAGAATTTATTCGTAATCTTAATTTAGAGGTATAATTCTAGAGTTAAGGTTACAAAATGACCTTCATCTCGTCTTGCTACTGTCAAGTTTCGTAAAACATCCTGGATCTTATTTTGACCAGCCAACAGAGAAGGGATTTTAAAATTAGATTTACATTTTAATGTTAAAAGTGAGGGGTTTGTGACACTCGGTTCACAATGGTATCCTTTAAATTTTCTTTATTTGATCAGTATTAAGAAAGATATTGTCTTTTTCCTAACTTGTAAAGTGTTAATTCTCATAATTTCCTTCATTGTTTCTGTGGCACAAAATCCGCAAGTCAATTTTAAAGAGAAAATAAACATTTTTTTGTAGAGAAATCATGGATATCTCACACANCGGATTTAAAAGTAATTTTCCCCTGAAGTTATATATGCTTGCTCGGAGCGGCAACTTTTTTTAATGTTTTATATGCTGAAATGGCGAAAATAAACGATTTTTAGGGGATAATCAACGAATGTAAAAAGTATCAAAAAATGAAAAAGTTGCCTTTGATGTCCGATTTTTATACCCCCTCCCCCCTTCATCAAACATCATATCAAAAATTCTGAAAAATATACATTCCTGATGCAATTAAAGGATGCACTATGAATGAGGAACCAAAGGACGCATAAAAATATAATAATCATAATATCTTGTTTATGAAACTATGGAGAACCCAAGAGTGAGAGTGAGAAAGGTTCAAGTTGAATATATTATCTAATGATTAATCACATTGACCTGAACCTCAACCTCAACCACAGACAACATAGAGATCGACTATAGTTCAGTGATCAGAGACCAAAAGTCCACTAGTAAGAGACAAAATATATATTGCCTTCAGTGCATTACTTAGAGACAATATAGAGATCGTCTTCAGTACATTGGTCAGAGACAATATAGAGATTGTCTTTAGTACATTGGTCAGAGACAATATAGATATTGCCTTCAGTACATTAGTCAGAGACAAAATAGAGTTTGACAACAGTTCACTGCTCAGAGAAAGAGAAGAGATTGCCTTCAGTCCACTGATCAGAGACAAAATAGAGATTGTCTTGAGTCCGCTGATCAAAGCCAAAATAGAGTTTGACAACAGTCAACTGATCAGAAACAAAATGTTGCTTATTTCAGAGTTTGATCAGTCTCTCTATTGTCTCTGAGCGTAACCTATACACTACACATTCCTTGACTTAGAGACAATGTGCTTTTTATGGCGTTCCAGGGCCGCAAAAATAAAAAATAAACAAAGGAAATAGAAAGTGTAAGAGAAAAAATAAAAGAGAAAAAAAATAAGAGGAAAAAAAATAAAATGAGGGAAAAAGAATAAAAGAGGAAAGAAAAGAGAAAAAAGTTGTAAATAGAGGAGAAAAAATAAAGAGGAAAAAAGAGAGAAAAAAACGGAAAAATAAAAAAGGAAACATGAGGAAAGAGGAAAAAGAAAAAAGCGAAACAAATAAAAGAGAAAACAAAAAACAGAAAAGAGAAAAAGAGGAAAAATAAAAGCAGATCAATAAAAGAGAAAAAACAAAAAAGAAAAAATAGAAGAGAAAAAATAGAAGAGAAAAAATAGAAGAGGAAAAATAGAAGAGGAATAATAAAAGAGGAATAATAGAAGAGGAATAATAGAAGAGGAATTATAGAAGAGGAATAATAAAAGAGGAGTAATAAAACAGGAATAATAAAAGAGGAATAATAAAAGAGGAATAATAGAAGAGGACAAGTATAAGAGGAATAATAAAATAGAAACAAAGAGAAGAGGAATAATAAGAGAGGAAAAATAAAAAAGGAATAAAAGGGGACAACACCTTCATTTATGTTTAATATGTCAGATTCAGGACTACTGTCATTTTCTGATATTTGTTAAAAAATCATGTTTGTAAAAAATAGTGTAACGATTGACGACTGAATGCCCCGAATTATTTCAAAAATCAAAGACGACCTTTTAGCCATTTTTTAATACTTTCACATTTAGTGGGTAGGTACCCTGTATGTACCTTTCTTCAAAGTCGAGTAGATTGGATGTTAGGATAATTTTAGTTTTATAAAATTAATTGGTTTAAAATCACAAACAAAGGCAGACCACATCTTGGAAATACCTGGACTAGGAAAATTTTAATTATTTACAAGTTATATGAAAGTTAAATGAATGTTACCAAGTAAAGGGCCGAAGGAATGGGTAAAGTAATGTTGGTTGAAATGCGGTAAAATAATTATTGTTTAAAGAATCATATTTGTAAAGTAAGTTATTGACACGAATGACTGCCACAAATTATTTCAAAAATCAATTAGTTCAAAAGAGGCACTTCCACATTTTGTTTTGCGCGGGAAATCACGTATTGCGCGGATTTAAGGGATTTGATAAGACTCAACATTGAGACTAATTCTCCAGTAAAACTCATAGAGTCTCAAGTCTAAGAGCTGGCCGCTGTCGATCACCTGACACAAGCTGTCGNCTGTATTTTTAAAGTTGTAAGAGATACTTGCTTTTTAATTAACCTGAAATTAATGAGTTTATTTTGGCCAAGAGTTGCAAGAGTTGCTTGTCTGTTGTTTGTGCAAATATTTTGACAACATACATACAGATTGCGTGATGATTTTATTATCGTAGTTCAGACATAAACATGAAGAAGAGAAGTAACTTTGCGGACATAAACATGAAAGAGAGAAATCAAGTTACTGACATAAACCTGACTGAGAGAAATCATGTTACAGACATAAACATGAAGGAGAGAAATCATGTTACAGACATAACTTGAAGGAGAGAAATAATGTTACAGACATAACTTGAAGGAGAGAAATCATCTTACAGACATAAACACGAAGGACAGAAAATCATGTTACAGACATAAATTTGAAGGAGAGAAATCATGTTACAGACATAAACATGAAGGAGAGAAATCATGTTACAGACATAAAAATTAGGAGAGAAATCATGTTACAGACATAAACACTAAGGAAAGAAATTCTGTTACAGACATAAACATGTAGGAGAGAAATCATGTTACAGACATAATCATGAAGGAGCGAAATCATGTAACAGACATAAACATGAAGAAGAGAAATCATGTTAAAAACATAAACATGAAGGAGAGAAATCATGTTACAGACATAACAATTAGGAGAGAAATCATGTTACAGACTCAAACACTAAGGAAAGAAATCCTGTTACAGACATAAACATATAGGAGAGAAATCATGTTACAGACATAAACATGAAGGAGCGAAATCATGATTCAGACATAAACATGAAAGAGAAAAATCATGTTACAAATATAATTTGCCCCTTTAGGATTTTGTG